TTAAAGAACAACAGGACGCGAATAGTCCCATACAATTGAGCATCAGCCCCCCTCTGTCGAAATCCCAGACGTAAAGCTATAAAGTTAATTCGAAAACACGGGTATCTTTTATATATATATATATATGTTTTTGGAAATGAAAATGGAGGGTTTAACCGAAAACGTTGGCTAGAATTAATATTTGATTTCTTGCTTTTTATTGTTTAGTATATAATTTATTGTGGTTTAGTTATTTGTCAAAAATTAAGCTTTAGAATTCCAAATTTTATAAATTTGTTATACGAAAATTATAAAAAGTATTTAGAATTAAATATTAAAATCGATATTTAACAATTTTAATTATTAATAAAAAGATATTATCCTTCGATGTTGATAATTTTTTAATATTAAGAGATCATCGAGATCGGAGGAAATTTTTCAATGTTAAATAAAATATAAATAACTTAACATAAGAAAAAATTTTTACAAAAAAGTTATAAATATTTAATTTATGATGTGACATATCAGTCTACTTGGAATTCTAGAGATTAAGATAAAAGATAAGATAATTTATGATCTTGCAATATTATAATATTTTTTTCATTGCGAAATAATAAATACTCGCAATTATTTATGAATATTTTTAAATGCTTGAAATAATAGTTATTCAAAAAAAATTGATTTTATATACTATATTCATCGTTATATATAAAAGAAAATTCAAGAACATTTGTGAGAAACTTGGAGCATCCGACGAGGTTTTACGAAAAACAAACTTTATGAATTATAAAGAAAAGTAGTGTTTTGCTCAAATCTATCAACGTCGACGTTATAAAAAACAAATGAAATTTTAATAAGATTACTCCATTAAGAACAAAGTAATATAAATTTTTATGATTATTTATCAATTACCAAGATATATGTATATATATCTAAAATTTCAAAAAAATTTTTATTGCAGTAATTATTATTAGATGATCTTGGATTTTTGAAACGCTTTCTAATGCATTGAGCATTAGAATTTTTTAAAAATTTGATTCAAATAAATATCAAATGAAAATCCAATACGCAAAGTAGAAGCACAAAAGACATATAAACGATTTATTAAATCTAATAATTCTTTTCATAATTTTAAAAAAATATGATACAATTATTATATCCATTACTATTAAACTAAAAAAAAAAAATTATAAATGAAATACTATTATTATACTATTAATGCAATATTAAACCTTAATGGAAATTTCTTCTCCCTTTTTTTTTTAAATTATTAAAAAATTGAAAATGTAACTCTGAATTATATTTTATAACAATCGAGGAGAAATATCGAATTACGATATTTAAATATTTTATTATAAATTTTTTATGTGAAAAAAGTAAAATAATGTGGTATATTTTATAAAACTAGTAGACAAGGATAATTAAAATAATTCACGCGTACGAAAACATTCATATATGTTTCCCGTTTTTACATTTTAACATTTCATTTTGAAATGGAAATTTTTTTTTCAAATACCCGCAACTAGATCGATATTATGTGTATTGATCGTAAAATTTATTCCACGAAAGATATACGTAATGTGATTAATCAAAAATATTTATAACTATTGCGCATGCACATTCAAATTTGTCGCATGAATAATTAAAAATGAATCATAATCGTATCGTGAGAACTGTTACGCATCCACAATTTTTTACTTTAATTATATGTGTTCCGGTATTATTACATATACGTACCTTTAAGTATACTTCGTACATAGATGATTCTAAACATGCTATGATTCTTTTTTAAGTAAAACTAAAGAAAACTGCTAAAGAAAAAAAAAAGATTAAATTTTTATTTTAACCTATATTTTCTATATTTTACAATTATTCCTTTATATTTTGTATATTTTTTTTACACATTTTTATATATGCAAAATAATATACAATTTTTTCAAAATTCGATTTAATTAATTGAAGTTGATATATTCGAATATCATTAAGTCAAAATAGATACACGAAATAATAAATATTTTAGATTATGTTAATAAAAAATAAAAGATAATACTTAAATATAATCGTCAATTAATTAATAATATTATCTATTGTTGATTCTTTTATTTACTTAAAAAATAATCTGTATTTCGTAATATTTAGAATCATTCTAAATTGTTACATGACGTTGTAAAAGATAAAAATCTTTTGTTAGTTCGATCAAATTGACAACAAATCTAAGGAACAGAAAAATTAAATAATATAATGTTAAATTAGAATATAGAAATCATTTATAAGGATTAGTTACAACTATCGACATAGAAACGAGTCAATGATTCTTTCTTATGTTTTATAAACATAAAGACAGTTGATATTTCATTGTACTTCATAATTAGTTCTCATACATGTTTAAAAATAAATAGAAACTATATTGTTACGTATGAAAAATGACATCATTCGACTAGACATCGTTCATAATATGTACGTGTTATAATATATAATCAGTTAAAAATATTCATATCCTATTTTATTTTCGTATTCCAGAAAAATTCTGATTTTATTTTATATGTATGCAAATCATGACAAATTATAATATATGGAATAATTTTTTTATCGATAAAAAATTTCTTTAAGAATGAGAAATCAATCACCAAAAGTTTCACAACATTTTTTAAATTTTGAAAATATTTATTTTATAATTTAAAATTTATTTCATATCATTATAAAATTATATTTGAAAAAATAAAAAATGAAATGTTGAGCATTAATCATTAAAATGATATTTCATTAAAAAAAAGTTATCATATATGTACAATTTATCCTCTAAATAATTAGAAAGTTTCATTAAAAATAAAAAAAATAACTTTTTTTAAATAAAAAAATTATAAATAAATAAATAAATAAATAACGTAGGATACGAATACTTTTATAACTGATTATAAATGCATACATTGATATGATATTAAAATGCAAACGCATTGGACGGAAGTAGAATGATAATCGTTCGATACATTGCGATTAACGATCGATATAAATTTAGATGAATATGTCATATAATAATGAGTACAAATGCTAATTTCCCGTACTTTTACATTTTATTGGATAAGTAGCACAAATAAAAATGATTGTTACGCAAAGGCAACAAGAAGTAGCTGCATAAGCTTGTTAACAACGTGACTGTACACGTGATAAGAATAAAATATCATGAAGTGTGATATACATCGTATATAAAAGACAATAAGTTAATGTACAAAATTAAATTGTCAATTAGAAAAAGACATCGAGCATTTTAGATTTATAATTAATTCAGAATTTTAATAAATTATTTTATTCTCATATTACCTTTTCCTTATTTTATTTTTAAATATATTTATATTCTTCTACTATTATGCCTTATTATTTTATTATGAAGATACGATATTTAATAAAATTATATAAATATAATTAATAAATGAAAATAATAAAAAAATATTATTGTTTTTTATTTTTGTATATTAAATTATATTATGTTTATATTAATATTAAATACAATCTGAATGTGTTTATAATAACAAATACGATTAAGGATTATGAAAATAAAATATGTTTTTTTAAAGATCATTTGAAATACTTAAATTATTTTAATATGAAATTTTATATTCTTTAATACAGAATTTGCTATCATGCACATGCGTAGATTATGTTATTTATTAAATATATATCTATAACTTAGTAAAGAATGTTTATAGATAAACTTTATATAATATTTTTTCTTTATTTTCATTATCATTATGTAATATATTTCTGAAATTTTGGCAGAGAAAATATTAAAATTATAAAATAAGCATAAAATTTAAATTAATATTTAAATAGTATCTTGCAATATAAAATAATGCAAATTAAAAAAATTGTATAATTAGCTATATTTTTGAAATTTTATATTATTTGGTTGTATAATATATTCATTTATGTTTCTTTATTATTAAATAATTTTAATATTTAATAATATATATACCATTTTAAAAATAAATAGAAACATATATATTGTTGACTTTTTGCCATTTTTTAATTATTTAAAAATCCTTTCATTGTAAAACTTATAGTTTTTTAGAAAACTATATATAAATAGAATAGAAAAAGAAAAATGAATTAAATTTTATAATAATTGCACTAATGAAAAAAAATTAAATTAATAAAGATAATATCTTTTGGTAAATAATAATATCTTTGATAATATCTTGATAATATCTTTTTGGTATCTTTTTTGCAAAAAAAAATGAAATACAGAGATAAAAAAAAATACCAAAATTACGTTAAAAAAATTATAAAAGACGTAATTATTCAGCTTTCTATTATTTTCTTTTTTCTTAAAATTTGATTTCATAATTTATCTTCAAGAAATATGATGTAAGTATATTCAAAAACGATTTAATCTTCACAAAATTGAATAAACTCAATTTTTAAATTTCTTAAATTTCTTTGTTTTTTAATGTCATTAGTTGATTTTTTAATTAATTTAGTCACGTAACAATTATTATTATTTAAACATATTTCTTATTAACACCATACCTATAAAAATTTAAACTTTGATTATTTTCTTCTCAAAGTTGTTTCTAAAATATTTTATATATCTTCAAAATATATTTGAAAACAATTTCCTTATATAAAAAATATATAAATTTTATCTAGCTTCATATTTAAAATTATATAAGATTGTTTATATTTGCTAATCAACACAAAGCAACACATCTATATGCAAGAAATTGATATGAACTGTAAAACACAATGAAAAGAAATATTTTCTTTTTCTTCTTTTTTTTCCTGAAATAGAAAAATATAAAATATAAAAATATAAAAATAAAAAATAATTATTTATTAACGATATATTTTAAATAAAAACTAACGCATCTTATATAAGTCAAAAATCTGTTACCCGATAATTTCTCCCCGATCTCAAGCTAATCCTCATACGTTAAATTGGATTTTTCTAATCCCATTATGAGTCTTCGAGCATTGTTTCACGGTAGAATCGAGTCATTCGAGTCTTGTACTATTTGAAGTTCACATCAAAGTATCTAGAAAAACCGGACCATCTCGCCGGCAATAAACTCAAAGTAAAGTTGGCGACATGACAAAGAAATTCGAGTTTAATTGGCGAATCGAAGTGCCAGAATTATTGAGAAATGGTTCAACGTTCGATCGATGGTTTGAAGATAAGGAAACGACCGAATACGAACCCAATTGTTTATTCAAAGTCGATGAATATGGATTCTTCATTTATTGGAAGAGCGATGGCAAGGTATATTCTGAAAAAAAAAAATAAATCCACTATAGTATATGTTCAATCAAAAGAAATTATAAGATGATATGAATTTGTTTGATAAAATGAATATGACAAAAAAATATATGAAATATGAAATAAATATATTATTTAAATTTTCTTTTATATAATATATATAAAAGTCACATTGATAAAAGAAAATTTAAATAATATATTTAATAATATATTTAAATAAAAATTTAAATAATATAATAATATATTTATTTCATTTAAAATTACATTTAAATAATTTTAATTAGAAACATTTTTATGTAGGATGGCGATGTAATAGAATTAGCTCAAGTGAGTGATATCCGTTATGGCGGCACGCCCAAGGTAAATGATATTTTAATTGTTTGTTTGCAATATCTGTTCACAACAATTGTGCATTTAATATTCGATTAATTTTTTATTTATTTTAAATATTAACTCTTTGCAGAAAAATTGTCATATCATAAGTTATAATTAAATAATAATAAAATTAGGTTCTAACAATTATTAAGTAATAAAATTTTCATAAAACAATATATATATTTTTTTTATTCTTAATATTCAGGTTTTTTAATTTATAATATAATAATTTTTACAAAGACTATATTACTGAGAATCAAAGTCGAGAGATTCATCCGCAAAGCGTAAAAATATTTTAGAATTTAATATTTTAAAGACTTAAAATTTTTTAGGATCCAAAATTGTGTAATAAAATAAGTAAACATGGAACGATGGAGGAAATAGATCAGAAAAGTTTAACTATATGCTCGGGTATTGATTACACTAACATTCATTATCAACATGTTGTTTGTTCGGATGCACAAACGGCTAAGGTAATTGCAATAACAAGAAAAATCTATCATTGAATATTTGGACAATATATTTTCAAGTTAACATTCATCTTTGATTTAGGACTGGCAAGCAGGTTTACGTTTAATCACGCACAACACGAAAGCTTCAAATGTTTGCCCAACAATACAACTGATGAAACAGTATGTAATTTACGTTAAATTTTATTTTTTTTAATTTTTTATAATTCCTGAAAAATGTATGTGGTACATTTCATACATTTGACATAAAAATATATGTATATTCATCACTTAACATCACTCATTTCTTTGTATTTTTTTTATTAGATATTATAATATTTTTATGAATACTTTTATATATTATGTATATAATATTTTATAAATATTTTTAATTCGCAATAAATGACAATAAAATTAAATATTGAATACAATTAGTTATTATAATTAATTATAAATAAAATTTAAGTAACGTATTATAAGTATATATTAAATTTTTTATACAAAAATATCTAGTGTTTATTTATATTAATTTTTCTAATGCTATCTTAAATTGAAAACTGATTTAATAAAATTTTACAAGTCATGGAAATAATGTTTATTTAGTTATATTAATTTTTCTAATGCTATCTTAAATTGAAAACTGATTTAATAAAATTTTGCAAGTCATGAAAATAATGTGAATTATAATATTAATGAACTTTAAACTGTAATTTTTATATTTATTATTCAGTTGGATGAGATTGAGTTTTCAAGTGGATCCTAAAGGAAAAGTACCAGTGAAAGTTATATCGAAAACGTTTGCCTCTGGAAAAACGGAAAAGCTTGTTTATCAAGGATTGGCAGACATGGGCTTACCTAGTGGAAAAGTAAGTTTCACTTTCAATTCAAATTCATTCTTACAAAGCTACATATTTTAAATTAATTATTTTTAAAATTCTTTTTATTTTATAATTTGTAAAAATTAAAAAATTTGTACAGAGATATAAAAGTATTTGTCCTGTTCAATATCGTATTCAATTAAAATTTTTATAATTTTTACAATTTTAAATCAAATAATTAATACTTGTTGAAAATTAACATTAAAAACTACATTAAATCAATTAGATCATAATTTTTGAATTCCTAATTAAATATTAAGTAGAAAATAATTTTGTAAATGTAAATTAAGGAATTTTGTAAATTATTTTCATTAATTAATCATGTAATATTTTATTTTATTAATATTATCTATATATCCTTATTTATTCAATTTAATTTTTTTATTAATAATATAGTATTAATTTATAGTATTAATTAATAGTATTAAATAATTCGTATTAATAATATTCTGTATTTAATAATATTATTAACTTAATTTTTAGTAATATTTTGTCCTTTTTTAATAAAATATAATATATAATTAATTGAATAAAATTTAATTTATTTTTAAAATATATTATTCAAATAGTTTTAAAATTAATTATATATGTATATGCAATCAGGGATAATCCATGATGAAAATATTAGAAAACTAATAAAAGAAATAGCAATGAAATTTATGCACGGGAATATTAAATGCACGGGAAAAATTAAAAAAAATAATTACATATTAAAAAAAATAATTATTAAAAAAAATAAATATTATTATTTTTAGAGCGATAAAATTGAGCCTAAGGATTTTACATTCGAGAAATTTAAAAATTTATACTTTAAAATATGTCCTCGAAACGATATCGAGGAATTATTCCAATCGATGTAAGTAATAATTGCATCGTTGTGAATTGCATCATAAATCTTTCTGAATAATGATTATAGTGGTTACAAATGCTATCTTTCAGAACGAAAGGAAAATCGGATACGATTAGTCTAGAACAATTAGTGCAATTTATGAACGAGAAACAAAGAGATCCTAGGCTGAACGAAATTTTATATCCTCTTTATGATGAGAAACGATGCACGGAAATAATCAATGATTATGAAGAAGATGAGAAAGCAAAATCTAACAGTGAGTTTATTTTTAAACAGAGATAGATTATATTAAAAAATCATGAAATTATTTTTATATTGCTATTCTTTTTTTTTCATTTTATCAAATATATTGTGTTAATATATTCGTGAAATTTTTTTGAAGAATCGATTTAAAAAAAAACCAAAATATATTCATACTACTTAAAAGAAAGATGTTATATTATCTATTATAATTTTTTTAATATCTCTATGAAAGAATATTTCTTTCTAAAAATAAATGATAGATATAATTTATATTTAAATATATTTAGATATCTAATGTCTTTTAATAATTAAAGTAATAAACTTTATGTTTTCTTTTATGATAGATTAATTTTTTACAAATTAAATTCAATTTTTAACTTTCTAAGAGTTTTTTAAATTTGAAAATATTGTCACTTGTATTATATTTCTTCTGATTTTTTTAATTATTTTTATTATTCTTATTTTTTTTCACTAATATTTATTTATTACATTAAAAATAAAGAAACAAATAAACAAACAAATCTATATGTAAAAATATATTTTATATATAGAATCTTTAACTAAGGAAGGGTTCATTCGTTATTTAATGTCGGACGAAAACGCACCCGTGTTTTTGGACAAATTGGAAGAATGGATGGACATGGATCAACCCCTTGCTCATTATTATATTAATTCCAGTCATAATACTTATCTAAGTGGCAGACAAATAGGTGGTAAGAGTACTGTTGAGATGTATAGACAAGTATTATTAGCAGGCTGCAGGTATGTACATATGATTATTATTTATTAATAATTTAAATTTTTTCAAATTTATTCAATTTAAATTTCATACTGCACATAAATTTTTTCATTAATTCAATTATAATTATAAATTTGCATAATTATATTATTTTATTAATGAATTAAAATTGAACTAAATTATTATATATTTTTTATTTTATTTCATACTTACAAAGAATTTGTACTTACTTGATTTTATTATAAATTGATCATTAATAATGATTTAATATCAAAAATATATAGAAATTATATAATTAAACGTTTTATATATATCAATATTTTTATTTAAAAAAATTTTTATTAAAAATTAAATTATTTTGTACACACATATTCTTTTAGTCCATCAAATGACACACGTATCTTTGGCATATCTTACATCATTTGCTGATACATACAATATATTCTGTGAAACATCCTTTAGAAAAATGATTCTAGAAATCAAAACAAATATGAAAATTAATATGCAAAAATTCGGTTGAGGATTATTTATTAATTTACAAGCAATTTAAGTTTGCATTAAATAAAGCAAGTAGTTTTATCTCTGTCACACTATCTGTTTTTGCCTCTTCATTCAATATAAAATTAACTAATAATTTAATTAATAAATTAATTGCTATTACAATAAAATAATATAAATTGTATAATAAATAATATTTTAATAAATGAACTTCGATTGATATTTTTGTCTCTAGAACCTAGAACTTTCAAAAGTGTCTCATATATTTATTAAAACTCTCTATATTTAAATGTCTAAACGAAAGTTATGGAAATATTATATCATTATTATACCAAATATAATAAAATAAGTAAATATTGAGATTATGAAAAATGCTAGTATACTATTGTATTTATTAATAAATTTATTAAAAAATAATTTGAAGAAAATTAATAAAATGATCCACTAGATGTGTAGAGCTCGATTGCTGGGATGGAAAAGGGGAAGACGAAGAACCCATCATAACTCACGGCAAAGCCATGTGTACTGATATCCTGTTCAAAGATGTAATATATGCTATAAGAGACACAGCATTCGTCACTTCGGAATATCCTATAATTCTAAGTTTCGAAAATCATTGTTGTCTGAAACAGCAATATAAGTTAGCAAAATACTGCGATGAAATATTTGGTGATCTGCTACTAAAGGAAGCTTTGCCAGATTATCCGGTATGTGCTACTTTCTCTTTCATTGAATCTTGGTAAACGAAAGATTTAGTGTGGTTGGTATCATGTATGTGAAAATGAATTTTGTTATAATTTAAAAAAAAATCGAATAAGGAAATATGTAAGCAATAATTAAATTAAAAAAATTTTAATTATTCATATTTCTTTCAAATTAATGATTGTTTAAATAAACAACACTATAATTATTTTTTAATGATCATTTTCTCGAATATTTTATTTAAATAATACTCAAATTTATTTTAAAGAACAATAAGAATAATCAATAAAAAATTATTAATTACTATTACTATTATTAATTACTATTACTTTACTATTAAAATGATAAAAAGATAATCAATCAAATATTAATATTACCGAATAGAAAATCAAATAAGAAGATATTCATTTAAAAATCGATGTTAAAAATAGCAATTCGCAGAAATATTTCGTTTTGCAACTCGTTTGTGTAACAATATTTCGTACAACTCGTGTTTTACTGCCAATGCGGGGCTTATGCTAGGGGGAATTTTGTAAATTTTTAACAGTACCGTTAAAAAATACGAGTTCACCGCATCCAACGTGAACAGATCAAATGAAAAAATGAGGAGTGTGCTTATCGCGTGGATGAATGTCCCGCGAGAAATACGTTCATTTTGTAAATCGTAAATAAAATGGTGCAGCTTGAACCCGGGCATCCACTACCACCGCCGAGCGCGCTCAAGCGAAAGATATTAATCAAGAATAAAAGATTGAAGCCGGAGGTGGAGAAGGTCGAGCTCGAGTTATTCCGCTCTGGGCAATTCGAGGCGAAGGACGAAGTTGTCGAGGATGCCAGCGCACCTGCTGCACCTCCTGCTGAACCTCCAAAGGTTGACCCTATTGATAATATTTATTGTTTAGAGCTTGATATACATTTTTCTAGAAATCTTTCTAATTTGATGAGTAGATTAATTATAATACGATTGATGATAGAAATATGAAAATTATCGATAATAGATAATATCGATAATAGATCTATGAACTCTTCGTAAACTATAGATATCTTTCTCATCTTTTTCTAGAATATAAATAGTTTAATTAAATATATAATACAATAATATGAGCAATAATCAATGGTAATCTTATAAATGATTCTTAATCTTGATACTTATTTTTATAGATATAGAAATCTTTCTTATTTTTTCTTAAAACATGAATTTATTATAAATATAATATAAGAATGATTAATATTTATAATATTATAATATTAATACAATAAAATTTTGATAATCCAGTATATTAAGAGTTTCGATAATGTTAAATTATTAAATATATCTGATTATTGAATTATATTTCTAATAAGATGAAAAAAATTATATAATATAAAAATTTGTTAATAAAAATACAAAAAATATATGTGATATAAAATATATAAAAAATAATATAAATATACCTATTTCTATATAATTGGGATGATACATATCAAAATATTGGATACTGTATAAATATTCATAGTTGATATAACTAATAATTCTTAGTTTTTGAGATTTTAATTAACATAAAATAAGATTAATTCTAAAATTTTAAATCGACATAAATTGATTTATTTTAAAGAATGATTTTTTCTTAGATTTGCTAATATGCTTATTTGGATGAATAGGAAATTCTTTAGACATTTTTTAATTTCTATTGCCACGAATAATTTTTCTTTTAAATAGTTTAAATATAGTTTTTAAATGTACAGGTTGTGGAAGAATATAGCAAGCTGCGGTTTACTTTTATTTTTCAGTGTAATTAATTTTCTGGTTAAGCTTTGATAAAAAATAGCTTTTGAAAAAATTGCTTTGTTGAAAACTTATAAAAAAAGATATAGCTTGAAGGAAGGAATATTGTTATATTATTATATTATTAATATCGAATATATCATTAAATAATATATTGAATTAAAATAAAATTAATTTATTAATTAATTAATTTCAATAATATTTATATTATTGAAATAATTATACAGAAAAAAATAACTCAGTGACAAATAATGACAAATAATATTTATCAAATATGTTGACATAAGAATCGAATTAAATTTTTTTATTTATTAAAAAATATACATTTTGATGCTAATATATTTTATTCTATTAATTCTGTTAAATTTTTAAATATAAAATAAAATTATTTTTACTTCATAAAAGTTTTAAAAAACGTATATCTTGTAAAAGGATTTTACAATTTCATATTTCTTCCAAAACAATTGTAAAAGGATTTTACAATTTCATATTTCTTCCAAAACAACTTCCCTATACATGATAGTCAAGGAAGAACAACTCTTATTAATTTTGTAAACAGATTCACAGTGAATTCCTTGTAGACTGCTTTAATCTGAGAATGTTTTTAACTAGATGTATAACTTTCTTAATAGAATTAGATTGCATAGCAAAAGAGCTTATTTTACTTGTTTTAGAAATTCTGACTGACTAGTTGTTTAAAACTTATAGAAGTTTGTTTTGAAATAAACTCATTTCTTATTTAAAAAACTTGTTTTAAAAATTTTGTAAAAAAGAATGACAAAAAAAATACAAATTTTATTTCTTCGCGATCTTCATGTTACTGTTACTATGTTACTGAATTATTATTATTTAAATAAAATTAAATTCATACCGTTACAAAATTCTCGTAAATTATAAATTATTTTTTATGAAAAAAGTAAAAAATTTTCAAGTTCGTGAACTCGAAATTTTTCAAATTTCGAAAAATTCATTTATATATATATATATATATATATATATATATATAATAAATAATATATTATTAATTGATTCTTTCTATCTATACCGTTTTTTATACCACTTTATGCATTCTATTTGAAAATATTTTTCAAACGTTTCAGCAAGAAGCTGCGCCGGCCGAAGGCGCACCACCAGGTGAAGGAGGTGCTGAAGGAGAAGCGCCTCCAGTTCAATATACTGGTAGCACGATGGCCTGCCATCCTTGGCTTTCTTCTATGATTAATTATGCACAGCCAGTGAAATTTCAAAGCTTTGAAACTGCGGAAAGTATGTAAAATATATTTTCTTTCTTCCATAGTAATATATAGAAGCATTATATTTCATAATCTTTTGATAAAGTATGCTATATAATATCGAACAAAAATTTAAGGTAATTATACACACGTACATACATCTTTTTTTATGTATTATTATTAACTCGAAAAGAAACTACATTACAGATATTAGATAATCTACAATTAAAAATTATCATCATTCTATTTATTTTCTATTTATCTTCACACATATTTGCATTTTACTTATCATTTTTTTACGATTTTTAAAACATATTATGTCAAACATGACTTTTTTTTATGAATAAATTAAATATAACTGTACGATGTATAATTGTATGATATATTGAAAAAATGATATTTGATATGATTCAATATGATATATTGAAAAAAAATAGATTTAAAATATTCCTATTTATACATGATTTTTTCAGATTTAATTAATATATGCTTTCATAATTTAATATTAAAACAAAAACATGTTAAAATAAATAAAAAATTGTATAAAAGTAAAATTATTTTTAAATTATTGTTAATTAAATGAATATATTTAGAAAATAGTCTTAAACTTTTGTCTGTAAGTGTATTTTCTATCATTAGATTCATTATGCTTTTTTTCATTAATATTTTTAAGATACAAATAAACAATATGATCTATTCTTATTTCTATGTAATTGTTTCTATATTCTAATATTTTTTATAATAATACTATAATAATAATAATATTAATTAANATAATAATAATAATAATAATAATAATAATAATTATAATTATAATAATTAATAATATTAATTATAATAATACTCTAATAATAATATTATTATTATTATATATTTATTTATAATAAAAAGAAATAACTTTACAAGTAATGTTAAAATTTATTAATAATTTACTAAAAGTTATTAGGTTTTTTATTTCTTATATATGATTATTTCTTATATATGAAAATTTGAATCTATATCACAGTTAGATAAAATTAATCATTTCTAAATTTTTTCTTTTGTTAAATATTAATATAGAATATTGACATTATTGATATTTTTTATAATCATAAATATTATATGAAAATAATAGAATAAGAATAAAAAGTTTTATTAATTTTTATAAACAATATAGTTGATTGTTTTAAATTCTTCGATCGATAAAATGAAATAGACGAATAAAATATATAATAAATATATTATTTTTATCCAAAAATGTTAACAGAAGTGTTCTTCACACAAATATTCAAAAAGCAATTGAACGCATTATGATTGTTAAATTCATTAAATTATAATTTACTATTTTATACAAAAATCCAACAAAATTTGAAGTAAAATCAATTTCGTTGGTATATTACTGTAAAATTTCAAATAAATTAAAGAACACAACAAGAAAATTTAATGGAAAAAATTTAATGAAAATTAAAACAATTAATTAATAAAAAGATTATCTTATTTTTTATTTTACATTATAAATATATAGTTATCGATCTTGTTAAATGAAGAAATAAAAAAAAATAAAATAAAAAAAGAAAAATTTTTTAAAAATAGCAAGATTTCAAAGTTGCTTAAAAATAAATTTCTTGAAAATATTCTAAAGGCAGGACGTTGATGTTTACTTAGTTAATAATAGAATTGAATGACTTACGTGAAATAAAGTTCTAAAAATAAAAAATTATTTAAAAAAACTAAAAAATAATATTAAATTTTTTGAATTAATGAAAAATATTTTTCTTCTTTATATCGCTAAAAATATTTTAATAATTAATTTAATATAATTTCAATTAATATTTAATATATAAAATAATAATTTCAATAATTGAACATACCTATCATAAAGAAAAAAAATATTATTATTGTTGCAGAAAAGAACATCCATCATAACATGTCCTCGTTTTCGGAGACTGCAGCACTCAACTACCTGAAAACAAATGCAATAGAATTTGTTAATTATAATAAACGTCAAATGAGTCGAATCTATCCAAAAGGTACTAGGGCTGATTCGTCAAATTATATGCCACAAGTGAGTCATTATTTATATCGTGTTATTTGAAATGTTTATCGTAAAATTTAGAAAAAATTTAAATCAAAATTTTTATAAATATTAATAAATATTTTATCAAAGGATATATTTTATATGATTATTTATTTTGTTTGATTGTTGCCATTTATTTCATAGCTTTTTATGAAAAAATTATTTACAAACTACAAATGGTTTAAAATATTTGCAAATTTTTATTATAAAATATTTTTTTACAAAAAAATAATTTTGCAAGAAAATAAATGATAATCGAACAATAGTTTAAATTTTTAATTAAGTAGATAAATAGAAATGATTTATATATGAATTAAAATCTAATATCCTTTTTATTTAAATAATTTTAATATATTTAGATTATTTTGCATTAGATTGTATAAAAAATAAAATTATCAAGTATTGGAGATTGTAAACAGTTCGATATATTATTATCTTATTATCTATTACTTATATACTATATACTACTTGAAATATGAGATTTGATGTTTCTATTAAAAATATCTTTTCTATTGGTTAACACTATATTTTTTTTATTTAATTGACATATTTAATATTCAACTGAGAGGAATTATTGTTAAACAACTAATTTTTTAAAATACACAATAAATATAAATAAATAAAATATATGCAAAATATAATAAAATATAAAATACACTATAACTCGAAAAGAAATAAATCTAAAAGAAATAAAATAAAAGAAAAGTCGAAAATATAAAAAATAATTATTATACTAAAAATTCCTATCTCTTTTTATTTTTCTTTTTTTAATTTTCGTCGAATATAATCTTTTCAAAGAATCTAATAGTTAAAGATTATATTAATGTTTATATATTTCTTAGGTATTCTGGAATGCAGGCTGTCAAATGGTAGCCTTAAATTTTCAAACACCCGATTTGCCTATGCAATTGAATCAAGGAAAATTCGAATATAATGCAACAACTGGATATTTATTGAAGCCTGATTTCATGAGGAGACCGGACAGAAGCTTCGATCCATTTTCAGAAGATGTAGACGGAGTTATCACAGCCCAATGTTCCGTTCAAGTAATTTCAAATGAAAATTTAATTTTATTATAAATTAATATTATAAATAATTACATATTAACAACAATAAGAAGATAATCAACATCTTATTATTATGTCAATCAATTTTATTTTTGCTCTATTATTTATAATTAACCACATAATTTAAAATGCAACAAAATCTAGTTAATTTTTCATTTTCTTTAAAATTCTTTAAAACATTACATTTCTATTTATGTTAGATAATAATGTTAGATATGTAATATAAGCATTTATAATGATTTATTGTTTTATTTTGATACAAATTTAACTAAATTATTGATATAGTAAAATTTTCTTTTAGCTAATTTTTATAAATTTTTATTAATTTAATTATTAATTATTTTTTCAAAGAATTTAAATCGTTATGTAATAAATTTTATTTTTATAATATTATATAAATATAAGGAAAAATTTATAATTAAAAAAATGATAAATTATTATTATTGCTATTATTAATACAGTATATTTTATACATCAGGTGATAGCAGGACAATTCTTGTCTGACAAAAAAGTCGGCACTTACGTTGAAGTGGATATGTACGGTTTGCCAGCAGACACGATAAAGAAAGAATTTAGAACTCGAATGGTGCCTGGAAATGGTTTGAATCCAGTTTACAACGAAGAACCGTTTCTATTCCGAAAAGTTGTACTTCCTGATCTGGCTGTACTCAGATTTGGTAATTTCAATATTCAATACATAATAATTTTAACAAGATTTATGCTATGAAATATTTATAACCAATAAGTTGCAATAGATATAAAGTAAAATATCTAGATATTTTTCTTTAAAGTATGGTAAATATAATAGTAAAAGGGGTTATTCTTAAACTTAATCGATTTGTTACAAAAAATTATTTAACTTTATAAATTTAATTTAATCATATCTTAAATTCAACAATTTTTATTCCGAACACTTTTCCATTGAATAAATCTTTTCTCAGAATTTTGATATGAAACTTTACATTTGTATCCTTTCTTAATATTAACATTCATTAAATATTACCTCTCTAATACTTTTCTTCTGAATGAATCTTTTTTCAGAATTTTATTATTCTAGGATAATGATCTTGCAATACATAAAAAAAATTTCATATCATTTATTCTTTTCTTCTAATAAAAGACCGTATACTATTTTTTAACGTTAAATTTAATAATGATTAAAGAAGCAAGTTGCTTCCACTATCAGAAAATAATCATATAATTTTGATTTCTTCACTTGACATTTATTGTTCGGATAGGTGTATACGAAGAGAGCGGAAAACTGTTGGGTCAACGTATTTTGCCGCTGGACGGCCTTCAAGCCGGATATAGACATATTTCGTTGAAGACCGAGGCGAATTTCCCCATGGCACTGCCAATGTTATTCTGCAACATTGAGCTAAAGATTTACGTACCCGATGGATTCGAAGGTAATACCTTGAGCAAGAACAAAAATAGAAATATATCACGATGACTGTGATTCGAGCATGCTTTCTCGACTTGCAGATTTCATGGCTGCTCTGTCTGATCCGGGTGCATTTAGTAAGGGAGCAGAGAAACAAGCAGAGACTATGAAGGGATTAGGAATCGAGCAAACCGATACGAAGGCAGAGGCGAAGAAGAAGGAAGAGGAGAAGGCTAAAAGGGGTATATATATATATTTTTTAATAAATTATATTTATAAAAATTAAAACGATTGTTTCAAAACTTTTATAAGATAAATTTTTATAATTGTTAGTATTAATTAAATTATTCGTTCATAGTTTTAGATTTATCAAAGTTCTTATCGATTTATGAAAATTTCATCGAAAATTAAAAATATTTTTATTACGAAAGTAGAATATTTTTATACGATGATTGTGTGAAGCAAGTATTGTGAAATATAAATATAAAAAATATATAAAAATTTATGATGAAATATATATAAAAAATTTGATTAATTCTTATTTAAATAATTCTTGCAAGGTTCAACATTTAAAAATCTATTATTTATCGTTATTTATTAATAACATTTGTTTAATTAACAATTTAAAAATAGTTTTAAAGAATTGTTTATTCTTTCATTCTGTTTTTTAAATATGTATATATTATACATATTATGCAATATATGTTATAATTTTTTTTATCAGATATGTATCTTTTTACAAAATTTTTCATTTATATAATTTTTCAGAGGAATTCAAGCCAGAACCGATTACGATAGAAACGTTGAAGAAAGAAAAAACGTATAAATTTGGTAAGAAACAACAAAAAGAATTGGATACAATGAGGAAAAAACATTTAAAGGAACGACAGACGATGCAGAAAAACCATTGCAGTGCCATAGATAAATTGGTGAAGGGAAAAGAGTATGTAAACGAGGGAAAACTTTGGATTTCTTTAACTAAAAATTATTATGATTAATATTCACTATTAATTATTGATATCTAATCTAATTTGACAATGATGAATCTTGAATTTATAGCAAAAATGCGCTGCTCCAAGACGCTAACGTGAAAAAAGTTATAAGTGAACAAACCGCGCAATGGTCCGCCATGGTGGAACGACAACGGAAAGAAGAATGGGAAATGCTGAAGAGTCATACAGAAGTTGGTAGAGACGAATTCAAAAGATTAATTGACATTGTACAGGCTAATCAAGTTAAACAGTTACAAGCGAAACACGACAAGTATGCAAGACTATCTTTAATTTTATTTAATTTTAATAATTTTTGTAAATATTTTTTCGTTCGTATTTAAATTAATTTTAAATAAATTTTCTAAATTTTTTAGGAATACATTTAAGAAATATGAAATTCTTAAATTTCAAGTACTCAAGTACTTATAAAATTAAAAGTATTGCTTAATTAATTTATGAATTCTTTTTGATAAGTAATGTATAATTATATTATAATTTATATATTATAATTTATTATATTTATAATTTATAATTTGTAATTTTATTATTTATTTATTTCGTTATTTATTTTTTAATATATATTAATTATTATATAATAATTATATGATATTGATCTGTATTATTTAATATGTAATAAAAACTTAATAATATTGTTTCTTAATTTCAGAGATATGAAAGATATGAATGCGAATCAAGCAAAAATATCCGTGGAAACGGCCAAAGAAGTAATGAACGATAAAGCATTAAAGACTAAAGGAGACAAAGATCGTCGACTTCGTGAGAAAAAGGAACAAAATACAAAAAAATTCATGCAAGAAAGAAAAACTGTACAGATCAAACAAGGACGTGAGAAGGAAAAACTAACAAAAATTCACGAAAAACAAGTGGCAGAATTGGATACCAATATTGACTTGGTAAAATTTCATAATTTCAAAAAATAATTTCTTCTTAATTTTTTATCAATATGAAAAAAGAATGATAAATATATTTTGCAATCAATTACTATATTAATCGTTTAAATATCATTAATTATAAAATATATTAAATTTATTTTTTTTTCAATAATATTTTCAAATTATTTAGCTTGAATATGGCATATATAAGAATGTATTTTTATTACAGACTATCGAAATGTACAAGAACGAAGTAATACACTTGGACTTGTCGTCTAAGACAGAATTTTTTGTCTAAATTATGAAATTGAGTTTTTCTTTTTACTTGAAAGTTAATTTAAAAACATATTTTCATTAAATATTTACTTGATCTTACTTTTTATCTTATTGTTTTTAGATATTATGTGATTATTTTTTATCTGTATTATTTATATACATGCTTCATACGATAATACTTTTAATCACTTTTTATAAATCTTTACACATATACATATATAATTCGTTTGATACTTCTTTATACGAATTATATATTTGAAATTTTCGAAAAAAGTATATTGTGTAGAAGATTTATACGAACATTTAATAAAATTTAAAATTAATCAAAATTTAAAATATTCCTTGTTACTACAAATAAACTTTATCTTTACAATTGTAAAGTTTTATGAAATCACATTTCAATAAATTTCTAAGAATATAAAAATAATAATCTTGAAACATTTAATTACAATTACAGAGCACTAAATAATCCAGAATAACTTATTTTTCCATATAATTATAAAAAATTATTATGTATCATTTAATTTCGATATACATACCGTTAATTTCAATTCGAACCATTGTGTCAAAATTACCACTTTATAAAAGATTTTTTTTGTGCATTTTTTATGTCCTTCGAAGCAATCTGAAACATTATAAATATACTCTGTAAAGTGGTAACATGAACACATAGAATAAGTTAAATAAACGAACACAAAACTAACAAACTCGAGCAACGACCTGGTGTATCTTTGCCAGTGATTTAAACTGTTCTCTCCTTATGCTGTTTCACATAGCATTGAATAAACGATAGCTTGTAAGCTCGTAAAGAGGTTGTCGATCAAGCATATATCCAATAGGCTATCACGTGCTCCATGAAGAAAGTTCTCAAACATCCATATTTCAAGGAGGCATGATTGAAGTAGTTACCCGAATAATCGAAAGCTGAAATCAGCATGAAAATAAAACAAGTATCGATGAATATTCGAAGAATAAAGATTTCTATGATTCGATGTATTATATGATGGCTACAATACAATGTAGAATATCGAATACTTATAACGTAGATTAAATATTTGAACATTTATTCGTAGAAATTTTCTTGAATCAAAAAGTTTATTATCTTTTTATTTAAGGCACAAGATTTATTAAGATAAAAGATGTAAGATCGTAAAGAAATTTTTCAATGGAATAAGAGAAAGAAAAAGTGGAATAACAAAGGAATTCATGGTTGAGAGAATACAACGAAAGGTGAAAACAATTGAGTATACTTAAACATTTTATGCGGATTTTTAATACGTTATGAGAAGAAGACTATAAATTTACGTTTTTTTATTATTCGTCTCTTTAATGATAATAAAAATATGAATTTAATAATCAAAAGAATTTTAAAATATTAATGTATTTATATTTTTTTGATAAAAGAATACTTTATAATTTATTTATAATTTACGAATTTTCCAATTAAATATAATTTTTATTTCTTTTCCTTTTTTTTGTAACGTTAAAACATTTATTCAAAACTTTAATTGTTTCTTAGAATTTAAATTTGAATTTCTTATTATACCTGAACAAAGGAATACGTTCGATTCAAAAAGAATTGATTTCAATGAAGAGAATTAGTTTATTGAAAATATTTTTTAATTTATATTTTATAAATAATTTATCATTTACTTACAAATCAGTAATGCAATTTTCGAATTCCTTGTATTTTTGCATCAAAATGATTTCCATATAAATAGTTATGTTCGTTGGAAATTTCATCTATTTTTCAAATTAATCTTATTAATATACGTTTTATTTCTTTCCATCATGGAAATTATCATTATATTATACAAATGTATTTTAAAATCATTTAAAAATTTCAAAATTAACATACCTTGTATCTTTTTTATTTCTTCAACAATTCTATTTACTTCTTAAAAATTTAATTTTTTTTTTTTTTTTGGATGACTTTTACACATTCACATATTTCAATTTAATAATTTAAAGAAACATTAATTTGCTTCTATCAACAATGCAAGATCAAGTAATTTCTTTATAAAACTTGTTTGTAAAATTTTCATATCAATTCTCTCCTCTCTAATTTAGATATTTCGATAATTTCTACACGATTATAATTTGAAATTCACTGAACAATGTCTTATCATGGAATAAGCTTGTCAATCATAATATTCGTTATAAAAACTCTGTACAAACATCTTTCACCTTTAAGTAAATCAATATTATTCGATTTTCATTTCAAATTTGATTTATATATTTATATATTTATATTTATATTAATTTGTATAGTCTTGATAATTGTGACTTATAGTAATTACATTATTTTCTAAATTTAAATTTATAAAAATAAAAGATTGTTAAAACAAAAATTAACTATCAATAAAAAAAATAGTGTAAAAACAGGAATATACAATTAATAGAATAAACGTAAAAAATAATATTGGAATTCAAATGATGAACCAATAAAACGCTAATACATCTAATCAGGCGCGTATTTATTTTGAAAATTATATAAATTAAAACAATTAATCTTATTGGATAGAATGTGATATAAATTGTTAGGCAAATATTCTTCTAGTTATTCTACTCACACTATATCTCAAGCTTTTATTTCATCAACAAATTCTTGAATAGCTCATAATGCTACGAACAAAAATAGAAATACAAAATGATAAAATATTGCAAGGAAATAAGTTGCAACGACTATCAAATATTGCTTTACAACAAATACGAAGTTCGGTATATAGTTATACACAAAGGCAAACATTTACAAATTCAATACAACAGAAACCATTATCACAATTTCAAAAAGAAATTATAAAACAAAAATTTTCATCTAAAAATGTGTATAATGCTATGAATATCGAATCTTTGAAAATACGAAGGAAAACAAGTGCAAATTCACAACAAAAACAATTGTTACTCTCGCCACAGTTACAAGTTCAAAAACAAGCTACAAAACAAAAATCTTTATCTAAAAATGTGCATAGTGTTATGAATGTTGAATCTTTGAAAAAGCGACGAAAAACAATTGCAAATTCAGTACAGCAAAAACAATTGACATTCTCGCCGCAGTTACAAGTTCAAAAACAAGCTACAAAACAAAAATCTTTGTCTAAAAATGTACATAATGTTATAAATGTTGAATCTTTGAAAAAGCGACGAAAAACAATTACAAATTCGGTACAACAAAAATTGAAATATTTGTCTTTATCACAATTTCAAAAAAAAGTTACGAAACAAAAATTTTCATCTAAAAATGTGCATAGTGTTGAATCTTTGAAATCACAACGAAAAATAATTACAAATCCTGTGCAACAATTGTCATCTTCGTCACAATTTCAAAAAAAGATTATAAAACAAATATCTTCATATAAAAATGTATATAATAAAGTAAATATCGAATCTTTGAAAAAAAGACAGAAAACAATTACAAATCCAGTACACCAAATATTACCTTTGTCACAGTTACAATTTCAAAAGGAAATTTCGAAAGAAAAATTTCCATCTAAAAATAAACATAATATAATGAATGTTAAATCTTTGAAATCTCCATCGATTTGTGAGAAAATTTCAATAAATCAACAATGTTCTTCTTCACAAAGTGATTCAGAATATAAGTTTTCTGAAAATGATGCTTTTGTTAAAAAAAATATTCATAATCTGATACATAATAAAGTTCAACATCAAATAAAAGGAAATATTGCAAAAATGTTAGTTGTGTTTATTAATGGTGAACAGAGATTAATTACATTTGAGATACCTCACGAAGATTGTACAGTTGAAGATTTATTGAAACAGGTATTTTAATAGTTATCAAAATATAGTTGTCATAATAGTTATAAAAATGCATAATCAAAGATTGATATGTTGATTAAAAATTATTTGTGTTTTTAGGCAAATATTGTTCTTTCTGAGAAATTAAGTGTTTCATTAATTTCTAATCCTACATTGGATATAAATTATTTAGTAAAAATTGAATCTGATACAATTACATCACTTGATATGAGTAAAAATGATAATAATTCTCAAAATAACATAAATAATAATTCAAATAATTCTAATAGGTAAGCTTTTCAATATATTTTTTTTATATAAAATTCATATATAAAGCATCTCAAATATAATATTAATCACTTCAGATCACCAGATAAAAATATTGATTCTGTACAACAAAATAAGGTAAATTTTAATTTCTTTTAAAAATGAAATAATACAATTAAATTATACAAATTTATAACAAATATTTGTGTTAGTATTTAAAAATTTTTGTGGAATTGCATCATTTTAATATATTATCATTTTAAAAAAATGTTAATACATTTTGTTAAAATATATTCATTAAATATATTTTTAAATTTGAATTATCATGTTAATTCTCCATATTATTTTACAAGATAAACAATGAACATAATTCATCAACAAAATCAGAAAAATTGGAACAAGATGCGTCTATGCATAAACATAAAAGAAAAAAAAGAATTGCTTCAAAATCAAGGCCTAGTCATAAAAAACCAGGTAAAAATAAAATTTTATAATTTTATTTTAAAAAGTACATTTTAATCTTCAATTTAAATACTAAATATATAAGATAAAACAAATATAAAAGAATAGATCTAATTATCTTTATTTAATAAAATAAAAATATGACAAAATTAAAATTATTTAATGAAAAAGATAAAATAAATATAAAATTAAAAATCATATATCTTTGTATTTGAATACAAAAAAAAAATAAAAAAAAAATACAAGATTACAAAATTAACAAAAAAATAAAATTATAAAAAAATAAATGTTTAACCAATATTAATTTTCATTTATATTCTAACTTTACTTTTGATTTGATATTTTACTACTTGATACATTATTTTAATTTATAAATATATTAATATATCACATATTTATAAAAAATTTATTATTATTATCTATATATAAAAATTTATTATANATATATATATATTATATATAATGTATATTATATATTATATAAATTGATTTTATATTTTGCATTATATATTGCATTATAAAAATATGTAATAATAAAAATTAAATTGGTTTTGTATTCTTTTTTTTCGATTCAAGATATTAAAAAACATGAATCAATGATTTTAGAGAGAAAATAATATTTCTATTATCCTATTTTTTTTTTTTACAACCAAATAATTTTCATGATTTAAGAGTTTATATGCCAAATTGTCTTATAGAATATAGAAATACTTTAGATTGACATTTCTTATTCAGAATGTTTAACAATATCATCTGATGAAGAAGAAAAAAGCAAAGAAAGATCAAATTCTAATAACAATACATTTTCAAATGACACGAATAATGATTTTAGTAATGAAATGGATATCATTCTTGAGAAGAAACCAATAATTACGAATAATTCTATTTCCGATACAATTTCCGATTATGTAGGATGCAAAAAAATAGAAAATATTTCAGGTAATTTTTAAATATATTTCATATATGATTACTTCACAATATATACATTCTATTTATTAAATTTTGAATGATAAATATTAGTTAATTATATATTGAAAGAAAAAAAATAAAGATAAATATTTTTTAGATGACATTATGCAATCTCCATATACTTCTTTATTATGTAAAATGGTAAGAATAGGTTCTTACAAATATATTCCTCGGGATAGAGTCTTAATCTCGCAAAATGGAGTAAGATTTGGTGTACCTTTATTGAAAGATGGTATTTATTTTACTAATTATTATATAATATTTATAATAATATAAAATAATATATTATTTTTATTATAATTATTTTGATAAATATTTATTCTATACAATTATTTACATATATTGCAGAAAAAACTTTTGTAACATTAGACGTTAAGATTCGAGATATAGTAAAAGTACTAATTCATTTTGGTAAATCAATGCCAGTGCTTTTCTTTTATACATCTATTAATATTGGAGCTATAATTCGTAAATTATTAGGAATGCAGGATCCAAAAGGACCATACTATGATCCTGCTGGAAAAGGTATCAATTTTTTAATTATTTAATTTATATTATAAAAAAAATAAAAATATGAATATTTTATAGATCATACACATAAACGAATAACTTTAGTAACAGAGAAATTATCAGAAGAATCAAAAGTTTTAATAAAAACATTGTTTATGCGAAAAAACTTATTAGAAGAATTAAATACGAAAGAAGCACATGATATTTTTGAAGGATCATCGCCGAAAAATGTATGTACTGTATATTTTCAATAAATATAAAAAATTGAAAATATACAGTTTGAAAGAATCTTAAATGTAATCTTAATTAATTAAAAAATTTTTTAAAATAATTCAACTTTTTTAGAATGTACAAATAAAAAACCTATCGAAGAAAAAAATTCAAACACAAATAACAGCTAATTCAAATAATACTAATATACAAACGTAAGGAACATTTTTATTAATTTATTTTTTAAAAGAATTTATTAAAAAAAAATTTATTCATTATATTTCGTATAATTCTTTTTTATTTCTATCTTTTTTTATATATATTACAGTAACAGTACATACAATATTTTTTATACGATTTTTGAAACATTCTATAAAATAAATGTAAAACTTAATATCATACAACTTTTTTTCGTATAAATATTTTTTTAATATATATTTAAATATCTTCATATAAACCATAGAGATAATATAATGTTAAATTATTCTTTACAGAATAACTATATATCCCCCACCACCTGCCAAAGGTGGTATAACCATTAGTACTGAGGATTATTTATGTCTTGGAGAAGATCAATTTTTAAATGATGTAATTATAGTCTATCTAAAATATTTGACATTGGAAGTTCTATCAGAATCTGATCAACGGAGAACTCATGTATTTAGTTCCTATTTTTATAAGCGATTGACAAGTCCACATGCTCAAACAGTTGAAAACAATATGCCTCTTACACCTGCTGCTAAGAGACATGCAAGAGTTCAGAAGTGGACGAAAAATGTCAACATATTTGAAAAAGATTTTATTATAATTCCTATAAATGAACAGTAAGTTTATCTACTACACATTTTTTTTCTATTTTTCTTTAAATTAAAATATTAAATAATAATTGTTATGTATAAAAATGTTACAGTGCTCATTGGTTTTTGGCTATTATTTGTTTTCCCGGATTAGTGGGTAAAGTTTTTACACAAAGTAAACGATCTGATGAAAATGATATTCGTAAATCTATACAAAAAAGTAAAAAATTAAAAGAAGTAAAACTTCAAACTGTTACTATTGGAAGTACAACTCTCAAACCAATGACGACTATTGTAACTATAGATCAGGATGATGGTGGTTTAGAAAGGGATAAAGCTGAAGGTGATAATGAAGAAATGAAAATGATTAGCAAAGATGATGTAAGTTTTTTTAAATTAAGTTTCATAAATTATTTTTTTTTATATATATAATTTAAGCTATTAGAGCATATTTTATAAATAATTTACAATAGGATGAATTAGAAATAATAGAAAATATAAATGTATCGCCAAAAATGAAACAAAACATACTACAGGAAAAAGATACTATAAAAATGTAAGTATTTTTAAAGAATTAAAATTAAAAAATTAAAAAATCAAAAAAATTATTATGTTCCAAATAAAATATAAAATATATTTATTTTAGACCTTGCATATTAATATTTGACTCTCTTGCTGGAACAAGTAGAATACATGTAGTAACTACATTAAGAGATTATTTAAGTTGTGAATATGTAACAAAAACGGGATGTGAAAAAGTATTTTCAAAAGATACTATTAAAGGAGCATTGTTAAAAGTTCCTCAGCAATCAAATTTCACTGATTGCGGATTATATGTATTACAATATGTAGAGAGCTTCTTTAAGGTAAATTTATTTTTTGAATTCATATATAATATGGAATATCATATTTGTATTATTATATACAATTATCTCTCAAATTATCTATTATTCTAAAAATATTTCAAATATATATTTCAAATAGAACTTTTCTTAAATTAATAAATATTTCGAAAGAAATCTTATTTTATATATTATTAATCTTTTATTTCAGAATCCCATTAAAGATTATACTTTGCCAATAAAAACATTGAAAAATTGGTTTGAGGAAATAGTAGTAACAAGAAAACGGGAAGAATTATCAAAATTATTAATTAAATTGATGAATGCAACAAAAGGAGACAAAAATATAACAATACCTGCTATAAACTTTCCTACTCAAGATGGTAAACTAAAAATTAAGGCTAAAAATCATATTGATGCGAAATCTGTAAAAACTGATGTTGAAGATAAAAAAAAACCTACTTTAGATGGAGAAAATCGTACTAGTAATAATATATTAAATCAAAGTAATAAATCAATTATTGAAATGGTAAATAAAACTACAAATCAGATTGGATGCATTCCATTTTGTTCATCTGAAAATAATTCAATAGAGATTAATTGATTCTAAAATTCCTTGCTGATAAATTTCTAATTGTTTAATTAAATAATAAATAGTTATTCTATAATGAAATCGATAAATTTATTAAGGAATCAATATCAATATATTAAAGAATCAAATCAATATATTAAAGAATTTATTTGAAACAAAAAAATATTTATTTTAAATATTGTAAATGATAAATCAATTCGAATTCTATCATAAAATTTACAAAATTTATTTATATAAATTATAAGAAAATAGAACATTAGATTAATATTATTTATTATTCAATCGTTAATTTTGTATCATATTTTAAGTAAAAAAAATATATCTATATTTCTATTACAGATTATTGAAACGGACAAGAATGGATATATTTAAAACAGAATTTTTTATGTCAAATATTAAATTAAGTTTTTCTATTTGAAAATTAATTTAAAAATATGCTTTCAATAAATATTTATTTAATATATTTCATTATTGTTTTCAAATTTTATTTAATTGTTTTTTAACTTCATTATTTAAATACTACTTCATATTATTGTATTTTTATAAATATTTACATATGTATGTAATTTGTTTAATGAATCTTGTATATATTTAAAATTATTATAAATTAAAAGAATTTTTATTTCATATTTGATCTTCTTTGAAATTGATCTTTATTGAAATTAATAAGAAATTTAAACAATTATTTAAATTATTTGTTGTTATTACAAAATCTACAATTATTTCTAAAAATATTATTTCCAAAATCAAAATATTTCTAAAAACATAAATTAATAAATTCTTTATTAATTTTTTAAAAGTAATAATCTGAAATAATTTTTAAAAATAATTTGAAATATCTACATAATAAAAATTATATCTATACAAATTATTCAAAATAATTTTATTTCTTTGTACAATTATAATTCATTACAAACATGATTATATACATGATCAAATTTATATTAATTTGAATTCTATTTGAATATAATTATTATATACTTGAATATAATTATCACCCTGTAAATCCAAAAAACGCTTCTATTTTACAAATATACGATAAGTGACTAATCTTGTGCATGTATTCCTTATAACAATCTCTATTTCAATCGTATTATAAATTTATATGCTTTGTAAAATGGTAACGCAGACAGAAAACGCATTTAAATTAAATAAACAACAGAAAAATCGAGTGAACACAAATTCAACAAACTTGAGCAATGATCCGCTGTATCTTTGCTTACTTAAAGTGTTTTCTCCTTATACTGTTCCATATATTGTTGAACGAACGGTGATTTATAAACTCGTAAAGAGGCGATGGAACCGGCACACGCACCAACCCAATAGACTATCACGTGCTCCATGAAGGAAGTTCCCAAACATCCGTATTTCAAAGACGTGGCCAGTGCAGGATTGAAGTAGCCACCGGAATAATCGAAAGCTGAAATTAGTATGAAAATAAAACAAGTATCAATGAAGTATCCCTATATTGATAAGTATTCAGAAATAAAAGATCCGATTTATGAATATAATACGATTGAATATCAAATACTTATAACAAATCTAATATTTGAACATTTATTCATAAAAATTTTCTTGAATTGAAAAAGATGAGGAGTAAATGTAACTATAAATTTACGTTTTATCATTTGTTGATGAGAAAATATTTATTTAAATAATTTATAAATATAATTTAATAATTTATAAATTTTTTTATCAATTACTTATTTTTGTTAAGTTTTTTTTTTCTTTTAATATTGGAATAATTTATTGATGACTTTCATCATATTTCTTAAAAATTTATTTTCAAATTTTGAATATTTTGATTTTACCTTTCTTTCAAGGAAAATTTGACATAAAATGTGATATATAATATTTGAAAGAATACTATTTAAATATTTGAAAATAATATAGAAAAAGAAGAATAGATAAGTAAAAGGATGTTTAATTAAAAAAAAATTCATTCAAGTGTTATTCTTTATTCTAATAGAAATATGAAATATTAAATGCTCTATAAATAATATATGGCTTAATTTATTAAAAGCATGTGAAATATCTAATATCTATTTATCATTAATTATTAATTTGTAAAACTTTTCCTCATTTCTTTAGCTATTTTAGATACAAAAATTTAAACAATATGAAAATAAAATAGATATAATTTTGTGTAATTATATAAACAATTAACCAAACCTGCAATAACTAAAGTAGTTCCAATAAAGGAATCGATAATAACATTAATCCTCGAATTTATCTCGCTCAAACCACGTGAAACTACTCTGTATATACAAGTAGCCACACATTCGATAAATGCTCCAAATATTACGGGTACCTTAAAAATAAAAGGAAAATGATAAAAAAAAAAAAAAGATTCATTATTATTCAGAATAATATATTGTGCCTTAATTTAATTAATAATCAATTAATAATTAATAAAGTAAAGTAAATTAATTATATATTTTCTAATTTCTAACATTATCAAAATACTATAGTAAAATTCAAATAATATTTCGATATTCATTAATTCAATAATCATAATTCATAATATATAATTTCAAACATTAATTTAAACATATTTATATTGTTCTTTGTATATTTTATGATATATATTTTTCTTTCTATTCTTGTTACAAATTATATTATTATATTATATCCATGATCGTTTCTACTTTATGATATTATACTTTATGATATACTTTATGATATATAATCTAAAAATTTAGCATTTTCTAATAAGAATTATACTATATTATAAGAATTTTACTGTACATTATTCTTAAATATTATATTTAAGTATATTTAATTTAATATTTTTCTTTATGTTATTATTATAATTAATTTTTAATTATATTATTACAAAGTATATTATTTTGAAACATTTATAATAAAATTTATGATATATTTAATATTTTTTTTGTATCATTATTGTAGTTTTTTATTGTATTATTTATTATATTATTTACATAAATTTATAATCTATCATCTCACTTACTTGTAAATCAGTAGTACAATCTTCGAATGCTTTGTTTTTATGCGTCGAAACGATTTCGAGCGCCCAAAGCAATTGAATATATCTAAAAACGGCAAGACCACCTACAAGTTCGGCCCATATTAAAAGAAATGCATCGCGTACCGATTTTGTTCCTTCAACAACTTCTTCGATATGTGTATACGGACAAGCGGTAGCATCACCCCAATTTAGAGACCACCAAATCGTCAGTACAAATAAATATACACCATACATAGAAACACCCCAGTTGTCCGCAACTAAGGTATAATATAATTAAAATAATAAAAAACGCACATACATTACAAAAATGTAATATTTTTACAATTTAATTAATTTTATTCTTATTTTAAAAATATAATATTTTTATATTTTTATTATTCAATTAAATTTTAATTCAATACATATATGTATATATAGTAAAAAATATATTAGCTGAATAAATTTTTTTATGATATTTAAAATTTTTACTACAAATATATTACATGCTGATGTTTTGTTTCAATTAATTAGATAATTTATTATTTTTAATGAATAAATATCGATAAGTTACACATGATAAATAAAAAAAATAATATTTATTAAATCCAAAAATCATGTCTTTAGTATTTAAAGATCAGTTCTCATTAATTTTAAATCCATAATGAAAGTATGTGAAAGATAAGTTATATCGTAAATAAATACAAATCATAATCGAAATTAATCTTAGTTGTTATTGGTAATTAAAAATCATTGTCTTCGGTAAACTTACTTATTATTAATTCGAAACATGCTCCGCAAAGTTCACCGGTAGCAATGGCTTCTAAAAATAGAGATCTTACGAACGGATCACGTATATAATAGTCGGTATATCTTCTCATCCAATAAGCTATGAGAGTTGTAAGTATAATGTACAATGTAGAAACTGCTAGAGCAATTATTGTTGCAGCCATGGTGTTGATTGAATATATATATGTGTATATATATATAAATTTAATGTTATAAGATAGAAACTATAAAAGTAATAAAATCATGAAATTAGAAATTATAATGCAATTATATTTATAATGTCTTTTGCTTTATAATTTATAATCTAATCTAATTTAGTAATCTGTAATATTGTTTCTATTTAAAAATTTATTTTTATTTTGCATTTTATATTATAACAACAAAATGTACATGTACATATTATACGTTACAAATATTAATCTAAAAAAAAAAACATAAAGTAACGCAATCAAAATACAAATTACAAATTAATTTTAAATTTATAAATTATTACAGATAAATGTCACATATATATAATATACAAGTAATAGGAAACTAAAAGAACATTATGCAATAGCAAACATTATGCAAAACATTATTCAAATCTATAATTTTAAGTGATTTTCAAAAAATATGTTACGAATGTTAACTTACATATTTATCATCGAATTTTATTCACTTTTACCATTTCTTCCAAATTAAATATTCACACAATATTTATTTCTCGATCTTTTCCTTCATTTTCCACACAACAAGATTTTACTTAGCTGTTATTTAAAACGAACGAATGTAATTGAATATATCTGTGTGAATATGTCGCGTGGCTTTAAATAGCTAGTCTCTCAAATTATCTGATTGAACATTCACATCACGATGGTTATCAACTATTTTTCAATGCAGTCATAAAATATAAAATATTTAATAGTATTTTTGTAAATATATAATATTAATAATAATATATCACAAGTATAATATAATTATTACCTTGCAATTATTTAAAAATATTTTGTTCAATTTATTTTTTTTTCTTATATTATTACTTTGTTTCGCGTTTTAAAAATCAAAAAACACAAAATAAATGTTTAATTTATACTTACAACAATTATTTTGCATTATAATCTTTTAACAATTATCTATTTGATAATAAAATAAAATTTATATATTTTTTAATTTTATATTTTCCTATTTCGAGAAGATTTTGAATGTTGAATAAAATAAACTTAACGCGCCAACAATAATTCTTGATAGAGTTAGTTGATTTGAATGAAATAAAACGATATCCTAGAAATACATATTAAACGTTTAACCAATCAAAATTATATTAAAGATACGTTAATGGTTCAAAAATCAATTCAAAAATATCTATATATACAAATAATGTAGAATGAATTTTGTAATATAGTTTTTCCTTTTGTTGATAGTGGCAAAAATTTTAATTACAACATATACAGTTATGATTGGATGTTTTTATTCGTTTTATGAAGTATTAACTACATTTATTACATAGATAAATGATTTCATGTTTGTTTATGAATGTGGGATAACTTTAGCATTATAAAAAAGAAAGTAACATTTATTTACAAGAATCAAAAGACTCTCCTTTGTGCTTCTTGGCCATTTGAGAGTCACCTTGATTCTCTGTTTTTAACATTAACCTGGAAATCCGTTTCGATTTTAAGTAGGACATTGTTTCGCTTGATGATCTAAAATGAAAATTAATACTATTAAATAAATTTAAAAATCATAAATATAAATTATTTTGTATATTATGTTATTATATAATTATTATATAATTATATTATATAATATATTCTGCAATGGAATCGAAAAATTTGGAAAACATTAAAAAATCAAAAAATTATTTTAAAAAAAAGACATATAAATTATAATGTTAAATAATATAAAAAAAATCTTCATTTTAATTGAATATCCATTTTTATACTAAGAATTTTAGACATAAAATATTAATATGACATTAATATAATAATGATATTAATAAGAATTGCTTATTACTTTCATAAGTTTAAAGAATAATTCAAAGTTAATGAAATTTTATGAAGAAATCAATTCAATTCAATTCAATAAAATATACTTGCTAATATCTATCAATATACTACAAAATATATTATAAAATTGTATATTATTGTATTATGTATATAATTGAATATTTAATGTTATGTATTTAATTTTAAATAATGCATTTTTCTATAAGTTATATTAATAAATATTTGAGAATCGAATTTGGAATTGATTTATTAATTTATAAAATAATTTTAGTTTAAAATAAATCATTAAATACAATATCGATTTTGCAGAATAATTAGAATATTTAGTTTTCTTTAAAATTATAAAATTACCTCGAATGAGGAGTTTTAGTCTCAGTCAGCATCTCTGTCGAATTACTCTCAGACGAACTAGAACTTGTACATGGAGAGCACGGAATGATCTGGTATGTAGTTCTATTAACTACTTCAGTACTTGGTTCAGCACTTTCCGTTTGATTTGGTATATTATTACTAGTACGATTTTCTCCATCTAAAGTAGGCTTTTTTTTATCTTCAACGTCAGTTTTTACAGATTTTGCATCAACATGATTTTCAGCCTTAATTTTTAGTTTACCATCTTGAGTAGGAAAGTTTACAGCAGGTATTGTTATATTTTTGTCTCCTTTTCTTGCATTCATCAATTTAATTAATAATTTTGATAATTCTTCCCGTTTTCTTGTTACTACTATTTCCTCAAACCAATTTTTCAATGTTTTTATTGGCAAAGTATAATCTTTAATGGGATTCTGAAATAAAAATTTATTATATATTATATACTTAATAATTCTTATTTTGTTTAGTGATTTTACCGATAGTATTAAAATAAAATTTAGTTAATAATTAAATAAATAAGATATCCTAATATTGTATACAATTATATTCTAAAATATTCATTAGTCTAATAAAAATTTTATTTGAATAATAGATAGTACGAGAGATAATTGTATAAATATATAAATATAAATTCAAATAATAAATTTACCTTAAAGAAGCTCTCTACATATTGTAATACATATAATCCGCAATCAGTGAAATTTGATTGCTGAGGAACTTTTAACGATGCTCCTTTAATAGTATCTTTTGAAAATACTTTTTCACATCCCATTTTTGCTACATACTCGCAACTTAAATAATCTCTTAATGTAGCTACTACACGTGCTCTACTTGCTCCCGCAAGAGAGTCAAATATTAATATGCAGGGTCTATAAAAAAAAAAAAAAAAAAAAAAAAAAAAAAAAAAAAAAAAAAAAAAAAAAAAAAAATGAATAAATCATATATTTTATTTGAAACATAGTTCTTTTTAAAAATACTTACATTTTTACAGTATCTTTTTCCTGTGATACATTTTGTTCCGTTTTCGGCGATAAATTTTTATTTTCTGTTGTTTCTAATTCATCCTATATTAAAAATCATTCATAATGTATTCGTATTATTAATTTTATTACAATTTACGAAATTTATTACAATTTAATTTATATAATATATTTCTAATATATATAATTATAATATATTTATATATTTCTAATAAATAAAATTTTAAAGATCGATTCTAAAGACCATTGATATAAATTAAATAATCATAATATAAAAATATTGGTTGAATTTTTTTATTAAATTATAAATATTTATTTAAATTTATATAAGATAAAAAAATGGAATCATTTTAATTTTCTTTCATCTAACATAAACTTATTTATTATGTTATAAATCTCAACAATTTTTTTTTTTGTCAATCTTTATATATTTTATATATATTTTTTTAAATTAATATTTGAAAAATATTCCTTAAATATACTCATATATTCAACATCTATAAAAAGCTGTAAAAAAGTTATATATTAATTTACTTACGTCATCTTCGCTATCCATTTCCATTTCTTCATCATCGCCTTCAGCTTCATCTCTTTCTGAACCATCATCACCCTGATCTATAGTTACAGTAGTCGTCACTGGTTTGAGAGTTGTACTTCCAATAGTAACAGTTTGAAGTTTTACTTCTTTTAACTTTTTACTTTTTTGTACAGTTTTACGAATATCATTTTCATCAGATCGTTTACTTTGTGCAAAAACTTTACCTACTAATCCGGGAAAACAAATAATAGCCAAAAACCAATGAGCACTGTAACATTTTTATACATAAGAATTGTTATTTAATATTTTAATTTAAAGAAAAATAGAAAAAAAATGTGCAGTAGATAAACTTACTGTTCATTTATAGGAATTATAATAAAATCTTTTTCAAATATGTTGACATTTTTCGTCCACTTCTGAACTCTTGCATGTCTCTTAGCAGCAGGTGTAAGAGGCACATTGCTTTCAACTGCTTGAGTGTGTGGACTTGTCAATCGCTTATAAAAATACGAACTAAATACATGAGTTCTCTGTTGATCACATTCTGATAGAACTTCCAATGTCAAATATTTTAGATAGAAGTCTATAATTACATCATTTAAAAATTGATCCTCTCCAAGACATAAATAATCTTCTGTATTAATAGCTATACCACCTTTAGCAGGTGGTGGTGGATATACAGTTATTCTATAAATAACAAATATATAAATATATAAATATATTATATTGTGTTTATGATTTATATGAAAATACAAATAAAATATTTTTAATAAAATATTTATATGAAAAATATTAAGAAATTTTGTAAAATATTAAAGTGGTATTTAATTCTTAAACAAAATTCTTTCTTAAACAAAATATTCTGAAAGTTATGCAAAAGATAATAAGTCCAAATATACTATATAATATACTATATAAATATTACTATATACTAAATATACTATAAGCATAAATAATATTTTTATTCTATATATATTAATATTTGATACATATAGAGTGTGTTGTGTGTGTGTGTATGTATGTGTGTGTGCGCGCGCGCATACAAGTATAATTAATAATTTTTATTTCATAAGTAACTTTATTACTTACGTTTGTATACCACCATTGACATTCAAATTAGCTGCTGTTCCCATTTGAAGTTCTCTTCTTGATAAACTTTGCATTTGTAGACTCTAGAAAAAATTTATTATATTTTAAGTTTTTCAGGAATACAGTAGAACCTTCAGTATTAAAATTATATAACACTATATTAATGTTGTGTTTTTTAAATATTCTATAGTTTGAACATCAATAGTTTTATATCAACATAGTATTTTAAATATTGTATAGTTTAAGCATTATATAATATTTTTTTTTTTATTAAATTATATAATATTAAATAATATTAAATTAGTATATATAATATTAATTATAATAATATTAATAATATTAAAATAGTATGTGTACATATATATGTTTATTTTTTTCTGTAAAATGAAATCTATATATAATGATTCAATATGAAATTATACATACATATATATATATATTTTACTATAATCAACAAAAAAAGTATAATACTAATTAAAAAAGATATGATGTAATTAAAAAATTTGAACATAGAAAATATGCAAATATATTATAAAAATATATTATAAAATATATTAACATTAACATAATATAATTAACATAATATAATATAAAAAAAAAAAGAAATTTTATTTATGGGAAATAGCAAATATATTCTTAACGATTAAGATTTCGGACTAGCGGAATTTTGTAGATATAGATAAAACACAAACTTATTTTTTTCATAAAAAAATAAAAAGATATCCAAATTTTAAAACTAATTATGCAAATTAATTCATGTAATGAATATTCTATTACAATTTTTATTTAAAATTTTTTAAATAATAACTTTATATATTTAAGAATATATAAATAATACATACATCTTTCGGTGATGCTCGTATAAGAATATCATTTGCTTCTTTTGCATTTAATTCTTCTAATAAATTTCTTCGTGTAAACAATGTTTTTAATACAACTTTTGATTCTTCTGATAATTTCTCTGGCAGTAAAGTTATTCGTTTATGTGTATGATCTATAAAATATTCACATTTTTATTTTATTTATAATATAAATTAAATAATTAAAAAATTGATACCTTTTCCAGCAGGATCATAGTATGGTCCTTTTGGATCCTGCATTCCTAATAATTCACGAATCATAGCTCCAGTATTAATAGATGTATAAAAGAAAAGCACTGGCATTGATTTACCAAAATGAATTAGTACTTTTACTATATCTCGAACTTTAACGTCTAATGTTACAAAGGTTTTTTCTGCAATATATGTGAATAATTATATATATAGAATAAATATTTATCAAAATAATTATAATAAAAATAACGTTATTTTATATTATTATAAATATTATATAATAATTAGTAAAATAGTAATAAATAATAAATAATAAATAATAATTAATAATAATTAATAATAAAATTAATAATAAATAATAATTAGTAAAATAAATACCATCTTCCAATAAAGGTACACCAAATCTTACTCCATTTTGCGAGATTAAGACTCTATCCCGAGGAATATATTTATAAGAACCTATCCTTACCGTTCTGCACAATAAAGAAGTATGTGGAGATTGCATAGTATTATCTGAAAGATATTTATCTTTATTTTTTTTCTTAATATATATTCAATTTATTAATTTATTAATTTGTCATTCAACATAATAAATATATCAATATATATATTATGAAGAAATCATATATTTAAATATATATTCAGAAATTACCTTTAATATCTTCATTCTCCATAGTATAATCAGGATTTGTATCAGAAACAGAATTATTCGTAATTATTGGTTCTTTCTCAAGAATAGTATCCATTTCATCACTATAATTATTACTCATATCATTTGAAAATATATTGTTACTAGAATCCGATCTTTTTTTGCCTTCTTCTTCTTCATCAGATGATATTGTCAAACATTCTGAATAAGAAATATCACATCTGAAGTATTTTATATTCCATAAAACAATTTATTTAAAAAATCTCCATTGTATATGAATTTTTAAATTACAGCCATGAAAATTGAAGTTTTAAAGGAAAAATATGATAATAGAAATATTTTGCTTATGTATATCTTTAGAATATAAATTAATGAAATTAGAATATAAATGAAATCAACAATTTATAAAATATACAATAGAAAAAATCTAAATTAAATCTAATTTATAATTCAAAAAGAATAATATAACAAAATTTTGGAAATTGAACAAATTAGAAATGCAAATTTATTAATTTTTTATTTTTAGATTTTGTTGTTAAAAATTTTTAAAATAATTTTATAAAAACTAATTTATAATAAAAAATAAAAATATATATATTATAATTATTATATATAATATATAATAATATAATATATATAATGTTATCTATGAATTATATTATTATTATTAATAAAAAAATTATTATTTAAACGTTAAATTGATTATTTAATAATTGAAAATAAATAAATGTTATTATTCCACACTTATACCACACAATTATAATTATCACTTATTATTGAATTCTTTATATAATTTTTTGTATCAATTGCATAATTGTATTAGAAATATTATCTCAAATAACAAGTGAAGAAAAAAAATTAGAAATTATAGTTATAAATCCAGACTACCACTGTTTAAACATTTATTTTTATATATTTTTCACATTAAACATCTTGTAATGTGTCAAACAAACAGAGGATAAATACATACCATTAATTTTATGTTTTTTTTTCTCTATAGTTCAAGTATTAAACAAAATACATAATTCCATTTAAGAAAACATTGATGACTTTGAGGAAAATAATTCTTCCATTATCATATTTTCCTTTGGAAAACTGATTAGAATTTTGTTACATTATATTTAGGAATATTTTTTTATATGTCTCCTATCCTATATATGTATTATTTAAACTTACACAAAATAGATTTATACTTTAAAATAAAATCATAAAATATTTCTTTCTTTTTTTTTTCTTTTTTTTTTACCTGGTTCTTTATGAATAGGCCTTGATCTTGAAACACCTCTTCCTCTTCCTCTACCACGTTTATACACAGATCCATCTCGCTCCAATTTTTCTAATTTTGCTGATGAATTACGTTCATTGTTTTTCTTGTAAAAAGTCTGAAAAAGAATATATAATTTAATTATTCAACTTAAAAATTATATAATGATCATATTTTAATAATATATGTTAATAAAATTTTCTTTAAATTTATAAAAAAATGATATAATAATGTTACAAATAGTTTAAAAAATTTTTTTTAAATTTCATTTGTTCTATAATAATATCAATAAAATAGTCTTATAAAGTTTCAAATTCTTACATCAACAGATATCATTGTTTCTTTCTTTTCTTGCATACCCATTGTCATTGGTATGGATTTTACATCTTTTGGTAATTTCCTTTTACATCTTAGGCATCGATTAAAATCAATAGAACTAATGCCACAATGAGAACAAACAGCCAACATTCCTTCTATATATATAGGTTCCTGTAAAATAATTAAAAATAATAAGATATATTAAAAATAATATGAATATAAAAAATACATTTTATTTATATTATACATTTTATTTATATTTTTTACATTATATTTTTTTATTACACTTAAAATAAATGAAAATCATTTATAAAAATATTTCTATATTACAAAAAAAGTATAATTATTTATTATAATATTACTTATTATTATTTATTTATTATAATTATTTATTATTAATTATAATATTACTAAAATTGAAAAAAATATATAAATCATTTGATGTGTGCACTATAATCATTTTAATATTTTACTTTGTTCCCTTGGTCACAAAATTTTAATATTTACAAGAGATATTTCTAATTAAGAAATATTTTTGTGTTAAGAATAATTCTATAAAAATTTTAAAAGCTATTTAATATAATCTAACGAAAATTCACAAATTATTAATAAAACAATGAAAATTTATATTTCATACAAAAAAAAACTTTTTTAATGAAAATAGAAAAATTATATATCTAATTCATATTAACAAAAAAATTATATTAATATTTTATCAATGAATACATAATATTATATAAATGGCTCACGAAAATTTTCAAAAGCTTGCTATAAATAAAATAATAAAAATATATATATTGGATGCAAATTTTGAAAATATTATCATAATTATTATAAAATACGAATATCGAAATTATATGTAATTTTCTTTTTTTTAGTCAACTATTATCTTAAGAAGATGAAATAAATCCTTAAAATTTCAATGTTTTTTTTTTTATTTTTTTAGGTATTTTTTCATTGTTTGAAATCAAAAAAAAACCTAAAATATATAAAAAAAAATTCGAATTTTAATGCTCTCTAACATTATATTCTAAAAAAATATTTTGAGATAAAATTTAAAATATGAACAAATATTGACATTTTAAAAATAGATTCTTTTAAAAATATTTTTCATTGAAAAAAAAAACTGCTGCATATAAAATTCATGTACAAGTCATTATGCTCTATATATACATAAATTTTTATTAAAATTAGAATTTTCGGGTTAAATAATAATAATAAATAATTAATGAATTTTCCAGTAAAATATTTGAATATTTTTTTGAACTATTGTACATGTTTATTAATATAACATTGTGATTAAATTAATACATTAGATTAAAATTTTATATATAATTATAAATTACATATAAAATTTATTATAATATTTTATTTTTAATGATTTTAAATGAATCTTTATATAAAATTTAATAATTCTTCTTATATAAAATTTAAAATATTAAAATTTTTTTTAAAGAATACAGAATATATTTTAAAAAATATGTGTATATGTATCAATAAAAATATCAATTTTTTTACTAATTTTAGTATTAATTTATAATTTAATATTTAATAATTTTATTTAATTTATATTTAATAATTTAATTTTATTACTATTAATAATTTCAATTTTTTTATTATTTAATGAGATTAAAATATTTATTTCATTGTTATATATATTTCATTTTTTATATGTACACATATTTTTACATAAGTACTTTTGAAACAATTATATAATTTAGATCCAAAAATTATCTTGTCAAAATTTTCATATTATTTTTTTTTAATAATATAAAAAAATTAAACATTTATATTTTAACACAAATTTTATCTAAAAAATTTATTTATTTAAAATATACAGTAATAACATTATATAACAAAATTCTTTTATATTATTTTTTCATTTTTATTTATTATTTTAAATTTTTATTTATTATTTTATTCAGTTTAATTATTATTATAAATTTGAAAATTTTTTCAAAAAACATTTATTAATTCTAATACATTTCTAAAAAAAATTAGAAATCAGAATTAAAAGTATAATTATTTAAATTTTTAATAATAAATTTTTATAATAAAATATTTTTATATAAAATTTTATATAATAAATTTAGCAATACATTATAAAATGCATATATGCATGAAATTGCAAAAAATATTTGACTTACTTTCTGAAAATATATTTCAAAGTATATTTCAACTATTCTATTTAATAATACACATTTAAAAAGAAAATTATAGTCAATAAACCAAAAAAATATACTTATATTTGAGATTTTTTTAAAAATAAAATTAAATGAATTTTAAATTAAAATTTTCGTCACTTACATAAAAATAAATAAATTTTTTATTTAAATTAAAATGTTATAGAATCCTAAATAGAAGTGCATTTTGTGTATTATATAATAGTGAATATAATATTTTATCTACTTTGTTCAATATTATAGCAATAAATTCAAATGAATGTTAAAGTAAATAAATATTTTTAATATTCATTACAATGTTTATTATATAAATAATTATATATTTTAGTCAAAATTTCACTAACATATTATATATGATATGTAACAATTCTGATATATTTTTTAAAAACTTTGTGCCACATAAATAAATTTCATCTTTTTTATAAATTTTAAAATTTCGCATAAATATTTTATAAAGATTATATGTTAAATATATAAATATATTCTTGAAAAATAATTTTTTAAAATTCTTGATTTTCCATTTTATTATATAAGTAATTTGTTAGTTTTATGTATTATCAATAATTCACATATTGATACTTTCTTTATAATAATATATTTAAAATACTTTTATATTTTATAGAAAATAATATATTAATATATTATTTAATATATTATATATTTAATATATTTTTAATATATAATATGTTAATATTAAAGAATATTTTATGAATATTGATTCTAACAAAAATAAAAGTTGATATAGAAAGATCAATTAAGACTTATTTATTTCAGTTATAATTAAAATTCATATTAGATGAAACGAGATAAAAACACAATGAGATGACAATGTAAAGATATTAATGTAAAAATATAATATAGATATTTTATATTCGTTTTACTTTGGTTAATACAAACTTAAATTATTTATAACTTAATAAATAAATCTTGATTGAATTTTTTATATAACAACTTTTATATTTATTTTGATTTCTAGAATCAATTCTTTAAAGATATTTTATGAATATGTTAACATCCTAAATTAAGTTATAAATCTTAAAACATTATTAAATATATATATAAAATAATAAAATAATAAAAAATATATATATAAAATTAAAAAAAAAGATATAAATTAAAAGATTAAATAAAAGATTAAAAGATTAAAGATTAAATAAATTTTCATTAAAATCATTATGAATGCTATGTTATTGTATAAATCAATATGAAAAAAAAATTAGAACTCACCTCATTTTGTTGTACAGGATTACTATTCTCATCAGGTGAACTGAAATATATTATAATATAATAATATAATATAATAAATTAATATCATTTATATGATATTAAAATTTTTTATATTCATATGTAAATTTTAAATATCTAATTAATATATTGAAAAGTTCACCTATGAGAATTATCTAAACTACTATTTGTATTATCTTGAGAACCATCATTTTCATCCATATCAAGTGATACAACTGCACCAGGTCCAGCTTCTACAATATAATTTATACCCAAAGTAGGATCAAAAATTAATGAAACACTTGTTTTTCCACGAAGTACGATTTTTGCCTAAAAATACAAATAATTTTTTATTAATATATTAATTTTTGATTAAATATTTTTATAAAATTTATTATTATAATTATCGAAATACCTGTTCCAATAAATCTTGAACTGTACAATCTTCATGAGGTATATCAAATGTAATTAATCTCTGTTCGCCATTAGAAAGTTTAACTAACATTTTTGCTGTATTTCCTTGTATTTGATGTTGAACTTTAGTATTTGTTGGATTATGAATAATTTTTTCAAGAAAGGCAACACTTTCAGATAAATTATTTTCTGAATCAGTTTGTGAAGAAAAGCTTTGTTGATTTGTTGGACCTTTTTCACAAATTGATGAAGATTCCAATGGTTCAACATTCATAGCATTATGAACATTTTCAGATGGAGATGAAAGTGATGATTGTTCAAATTGAGATTTTTGTGTTGTTTGTTTTTGAAATTGTAACTGTAATGAAGATGACATTTGTTTTTGTTGTACTGAATTTGTAGTTGTTTGCTGTCGTGTAGGATTATTTAATGAAGTTTGCATTGAATGTGAAGCAATATTTGATAATCGTTGCATATTATTTCCTTGCAATCTTTTATCATTTTGTATTTGTCTTTGATTTTGCATTTGTTTTAATCTTGTTTGTTCCATTTTAGGCTGTTGCATTTTTAAGGAATTTTTTGGCAAAGTAGAAGCTTGAGGTCTAGTATGAACTGTACTCAAAGGAGGATGTATCTGCGTAGAAATTTGTGTCACATTCTGTCCAGTAGGACTAATTGTTTTATTACAAAATGAAGGTGCAGATACTCTGATATTAGACGCATTAGCGTTTGATATTTGAGTTCCAATATTATTTGTTACATTCACCCTATCAATGGTTGAGATTCCTGTTTGTACACTGTTTGATACTGGTCGATTTCTGTTTTGGTATGATCTAAGTGGTTTCCTTTTTACAAGCTCACTATTCTGTGATAATTCACAAGATCCATGTAATAGACTCTAAAATTATATATAACTAATATTGCACTTAATAATTTGCAAGATAAAACTATGGGTTTTTATACTTACTTGTGAAGAAGTATTATTTTGATTTTCATTTAAATTGGCAGTTTGAGTTTTTTCTGATATCAATGCACCCTGTTTTGAAACTGCATTTACACTAATACTATTTTCTTGCATTTTTATCCATTGTATCTGTTGTCCATCGTTATTACAACCTATAAATGTTTTAGAACCTAAATAAGAAAATGATGTTCTCATAAATTGCTTTTTAATTATTGTACAATTTTTCTTATTTTATAATAGTTATATCTTTAATAATAATTTCTTTCTTCATTGTATTTATTTAAAAAAAAAATAAAAAATTATATAATTGCACTAAATTACCTTTATTATCCACAATGTTTACAATATTTCCTCCTATAGTATTATCATTCACTGTTGTAGTCTTTAATACACTTTGAGGTGAAGTTAATTCATTTGTATTTGTTTTGATTATAAATACATTTTGTCTGAAAGTAATAATATATTATATATTAATGAAAAAATTTGAAATAATAAATATTTTAACAAAATAATGCAAACTACTTTTTTTGATTCATTAATATACATTTATAAATCAATTAAATATTCCCTTTCTACAATTTTTAGTTTACATTTAAATAAATTGAAAACATATTTTATCAATACCTAATACAAAAATTTTTTATGAAAATTTGTTTTCATTTATGAAAATTATATAATATATCAATTATATATGTTTAATTTAATTTATGTTTATAAGTGAAAAGCACGAGGAAAAAAAAGGGTGCATTGGTCTCTAATTCCATTGCATAGAATATAATTGAAAGAGATATTCATTTTATATACATTTAAATTACAAATAAAATATTAATAAAAATTGCACCATAAAATTTTAATCTAAGTGCTTTTATATGAATTATAAATATTTCAATATATAAAATATTTTATATGAATTGTAAATAAAGTACAATATATATTTGTTATAATTTATATGTATAAATTATATATAAATTTTCTAAGATTTTAGTTTAAAAATATTATTATTTTATGAATAATTAATTACAAAAAAAAAATAAAAATAAAAATAAAAAATATATATAAAATTGTTAAAATAATTATAATTAAAAAAAAATTAATATAGAAAATTTAATATACTATATATAAATATAAATTCTCAAAAAAATTATAATATTATGTTATAATTATGTTACAAATATATGTTACATAAATTTTCTATTTAAGTCATGATATTATGTCATATTTAAAGATATTTGATTTATTAGTGTATATTATATTTCACATTTAAAAGTAGTTCATTTTTTATAAACTATTTATTCTATTATATTATAATAATATATTTAATTATATTATACAATAATAAATGAATAATTTTATAATTATAGTAAATTATTCATATATTTGATTCTTATTTAATGAATGAATAATTACATTTATATTTATGACTTATTTTATAAAATGAATAATGAAACTTACATAATATGCATTTCAAGTATTTTACATAAATTTCAAATATTTTACATAAATTTACTATAATGATTTAAATCACCCAAATATAATGTTTCATTGTTAAAGAAAAATTTAATAATTAAAAATTTATTAATTATAAAAGACTTCTTTGAGGCACACATGTACAATATATTAAAATAATATACTTCAAATTTCTATAGAAAATTTTCACTATAAAAAATAAATAACGCATTATTATCCTTAAAAATATTATTAATAAAGTTTTAAACAGGTTTTAAACTCTTTATATATTTTATTTCTATATATATAATTAGAAGACTACCTTAAGAAGTTTTTATTAATCTGTTATATTTCTATAATACATATCAAAGCAAATATATAATCATTTATTATAATCATAATTTTAAACATTGACAAAATTTTAATTGTATTCTGTATACATAAAACACATTATATACATGAAATTATATAGATCTGTCTATAAAATTAAAGTATTTAAATACTATATAATCACATATAACACATTATAAAATATATTTCTACAATGCAAAAACAGTAAAAAAATATTTTTTATACTCTAATAACATGCCAAATAATTGGTACTTAGTTTTCATGATTAGCATCATATACCAATATCCCTTTATTTTCCTCGAATATCTAGTATTTTTTATATTTCTGTATGTATATCAATATACATATCAATAAGATAAAAAAGCAAAAAGATACCACACTGCTACTTCAATATTTGAATAATTAAAATACATGCGCACAAATTACCCTTGATCCAATTGTGTTGTAGAAATTTGACTCCCTAAATTAATTTGCTGTGAAAATATTGCTTGCCCAGTGTTTTGTGGTGCACTAGTATAAGTCAAAAATTGTTGAGAACCATTACCACCATTATTTATGTCTTCAACAACTAATTGTACACTTTGTCCCTCTACAGAGCAAATTCTCTGTACTTCTTCAAGTGTTAATGTACCACTGGCATTGGTCACAAAATTATAATATTGTGCCATAGTATTCAAGACTTAAATGCTTGCAAATATTATCTTTCGTCAATTTATTTAGATAAAATCGATCAATGTCAGTACTACACTGAATTACACCAGTCCATCAATATCATATCTGTAGAACGATGAATTAGTATCTGCACAATAAAACCTATTAAAAGTAATTTAAAGTTACTTGTGTTTTTTCTAATATATGCTTATATAAATTATTATTATTTAGAAAAAGAGAAGACAAAAGTATATGCAAAAATTTTTTTAAGTTAAAATATATTAAGCTTCTCTCTCTCTCTCTTTTTCTCTCTTTATTAAAATAGTTCAAATTAATACTACTTAATATTTTTTCATAACCATATTAAAATGTGTATCATATTTAATTTTAATTAAATATTTTTCTTAAATCTAAAACAAAAGAATAAAAATATATAAAAATATTAAATATTTCAATAATAAAAGATTATATATATATTAAATAATTTATATTAATTAAAGATAAAAAAATCACAAAACATGATTTTTCCTAAATTAAATAGTAATAATTTTTTTATATTAAATTATGTTTTTTACTAGAAATTATTTACTATATACAATTTTTATTTTTTAATTATATTTCATGTATATTATGATAAATGTTTCAAGTGAATATATTTTAAAATAACATATATCTTATTAAATTACAAAATATAACATTAATAAATAGCAAAAGCATAAAAATATTTCATTTTATTTATAAATGGACATAAAGTAAAAAGTTAAACTTCTTAAGTAGTCTCCTACAAATAATTTTTTTTAAAAATTGCATAAAACCACCCCATATCATATTATAATTAAAAATTAAATCTAAATATGAATTTCTGTTGCACTTTATGCAAAATGAAAATATTTAAAAATTATTGTACAATATGTGCTTCAAAGATTTATAATTTAGACAAAAATTTATTAATAAATAATTTTATGAAAACTACAGAATAATTAATAATAATAATGATAATAATAATATTTTTGAATTTTAAACAAAAGCATTTCTTTAATTTATACCTAACATGCAAAATTTTAAATAAGAAAATTTTTATAATTTTAAAATTATTAAAATAACATATTAAAAGATTCATTAAAATAATAAATTACATATTTAACTGTATTAATATTATTTTCAAAAAATTTAATATTATATTTTTCTTTATTTTATTTCATATTGTGAGATACGTTCCATTATTAAATATATAATACGTATTCACATATAAATAGTATAAATAGCAATAGCTAATTGAAAATATAATAAATTATTAAAAATTTTCAAATATTCAAGATATTTATAATCAATTCATATAATATAAAAAAAATACATTATTAGAACATATATTATTAAAATGCAATAAATTCATTATATATTTAATAAATATAATAAATTTAATATTAAATAACTATTGAATTTTTTTAATATTTTAACTTATAATATTAATATTTCATTTATATTATTTTTTTTTTAATTTCTCTCAATAAAAATATTTATATACAAATATCTATTATTTTTAAAAATATAATATTTTACATTTAATAATATAAATAACTGAAAATTAATAATAAAAATAAGATTTCTTTAAAATTACAATTTTATCTTAGCATTAAAAGTTATTTTTATTTAATATATTTTAATAATCTATAGAATATATAATTATATATATTCTTAATAATAAATATCATAATTATAAAAATTATAGAAAATAAAGATAAAAGAAAAAAAAATGATTAGTAAAATATATTATAATAAAAATGTTTATTTAATAATATTTTATTATTTGTTTCTAAATAATAATTACATTAACTTTTATTTAGTTTAATAAAATAATATATAAATTAAATATAGATATTATAAATTTACAATTATAAAAAATTGTAAATTTAATTTAAATATAAAGACTATTTTATAAAAGATATAAGGAAATCTTTCTAATGATTTGTTGAGATTTTGTAACACATGTGATATAAATTGATAAATAAAGTGCAATTACCTATTGTAATATAATATATGAATACAAAATAAATTTGAACATATGATGATTATTTTTTTTACAGTTTCCGATATTATTACTGTTTTAGCATTTATAAATATATAAAATGAGAAATTAAAACAACTTGAATATGAACAATATTTAAATTTCACAGAATCATAACCTAGAAGATGAAGAAAGAAATCGATCTGGATTTTATATATCCATTAAGGAATTAAAACTACAAATAAAAATAAAAACACATGCATTAGCGATGTGAATATTATAATATATTATAAAATATATATGTAATTTATCTTCGAAATGCGCAAGATATATGATAGCAAAATTGTTTAAGAATTTTATCATAACCTTATTTCAAAATTTGAACTATCTTAAACAAAAATTATAATGAAATAATAATACAAACATTTACATTTTGCTATACTATAAAGCAATTTTATTGTCAATTTCATATGAAAAACATGCGGAATTACCGACTTGAATATGAACCGACGTCTAGTGCACACGTTATAAATTTTTTATTAAATTGACAACTATGATACTTACAGTCGTTTGTGTAAGGAGAAGTAAATACACAATTCCAAATTTAGCAGTAACAAATATTCCTTATATTGTAATCTAGTTATTTCGTTATACTTCGCGTAAGTAAATAACACGTCCAATTCGCCATTTTACGTTACCGTTTACGTGAAAGAATCGCAAAGCAACCGATAGACCGCAAAAGATTACGCCACTGCGTCACTGAAGTAGAATTTCCGGCTCCGGTTTTCTAAGATACTAATGGCGCGAAATTTGATATATCATGACAATTATAGTTTTTATACAATGATAATATGATATATATTTATATTTATTATTTATGATATAGACATTTTATTATTAGAATCTTACTCAATTCATACATATGAATAGTGTTAATAATGAACATAGCTCAGATTCTTATAATAAAAATAACTTAAATTTTTTTAAATAAATTCATGTTAGTATAATTTAATATTAAACTTTAACATTTTTATACAAAACATTATAAGATGTATTAAAAATGCATTAATTTTCTATTTATATGAAAGAAAATTAAGAAATAAAATTTATAAATATATATAAAAATTAATATATTTATATGTATTATAAAATTCAAATATAGTTAGAAATTTAATAAATAATAAAATTATAATTTATTATAATTATTATAAATATTTATATGTTTATAATTTAATCATATATAAAATTTAAAGACATATAATAACAAATTTATGTGTGAATTACATTTTTATTGAATTAAAATTCTAGTAAATTATTTATAATTATTCTACTTATTTTACAATACTCTTATTTTTATAAATATTTAATTCATTTAAAAATATAATTGCAAATAAAATCAGAATATATTAAAATATATTCTATATTAAATTTGAAAAATTAAATCAGTTATATATTATATATTAGATTTGAATAAACGCGCCATAAATTTCATAGACTGTTATGAATAAAGGTTGCAATATGAATTGTATTTTTATATTATTTGCATTATCTTGTATTATTTATTTTATTTTTTCTATATCTGTATATTTTTTTCGTATATATTAAATTTAATAATTTTTCCTTATTTTAATTTATTGTTATATGAACTGTGAATCTAAAATTTGGAAAAAGATGATAATAGTAAAAAAAGATGATATTTGAAACGTCATTAAATTTATTAAAGATATTTCAGAAAATCATCAAAAAAATTCAAAAGAAATATATAAAAGAAATATACAAGATAGCAAAAATAATTTAAAACTTAAAAAAAAATCCAAAAAAATCACGAAACGCATATAGTAGATGTCAAATGCATATAATGCATACATGTGAAAGAGCAAAATTTGAACGAACAGAAAAAACAGGATGAATAAAAAAATTTATCAGTCAATAATAATTGAAAACAGATACAATAAAATATGAATTCCTGTTATATATAATTGTAGTTTTCGCTATATAATTATAACGAATGCAATATTTGTTAAATATATATGATGTATACTTATTAAATCGAGAAAATAAATATTTTTGATTGAAAAGAGAAAAGGAATAAAAAAATTTAATAAAAATATTAACAATATATGAGATTTGATAGGATTTAAAGGAAAAAAAAATCCATTTTATCCAAATAAAATAATAATAATAATATTAAATAAATCTTTAAAATTACAGAATATATATATATATATATATAATATATAATAGAATAAACTATACTAAAAATTGACTGGTTTTTTGTTTTATTTAGTAAATGTAATTCTTTTGATATTTTTTTGTATTATGTATTAATTTTCTTTTAATTTTAAATTAAAAAATTTTAAAAAAATCCAATATTTATTATATTTTAATATTTACAAAGTATAAAAAATTATAGAGTAATTTATAATAAAATAAAAAATTAATTATATTTTATATTGATTTGGATTAAGCTAAAGACATAGATGATAGAAAATTTTGTACGGAAGATATAGAAATTTTTATAAATCAACTTAATTAGAAGATTAGAAAGCAAAATTTGTTAGTTCATCCATAATGAAATATTTAGCATTATTAAATATAATAAAGGAAATTATTTATGTAAAAAAAACTTTCTGAACATACAAAACAAAACAAATAATAAAGAAAAAATTAAAAGTTAAAAAAAACTCTGATGATTTATTATAATAATCGAATTCAATTAAACAAAAATAATTTATATTATAATTAAAACATATATATTATATATTATAATTATAACATATTGATATAAAATATTATTTTCGAAGAATAATAGTTGGAATGAAAAGATATACAAGTAAAATACAAAGAAAAGAAATATTAAATAAAACTATAGAATAAATAAAAAGAAATGAAACTTTCGAGATTGAAAAATTAATAATAATTTTTAACTGATTGTTTAATGTTTAAAAATATTTGTTTCAAAATTTTTGAAATTTATGAATTTTCATATGCTTTTATAGAAAGTATTGTATTTGAATAAGTATTTTAAATTTTATAAACTACTATGAATGAAGATTATAACATAAATTATTTGTGAAACCATACGTTTTTGTCTGTTTTGTATTCGTATGTTCATTCCGCATACATTAATTTATTTTGTATTTTCATTTTAATTTATTGTAAATATATTAATTACAAGTTAAACTGCTAAATTTTATCAAATATCTTCCCTATATTTTATAGTTGTTCTATGCTCACTACTATTAACATTATCACGCAATATAGGAATCATTCTTTGTCCACTTCGTTGTAATGTGTAAAAACTAAATGGGAAAAAATTTTCTATTGTAGATGTTGTTCCTTTTTTACTATCAAAAAGTGGAAGCTGATTTCGAGTATTATTTTCAATTATAGTATAACAATATGCTAATTGATATATTCTAGTAATTTCTGCAAAATTATGCATAATTTCAGGATGACAAGCTTTTAATGGATTTAATTTACATGTTATAATTTTTGCTAAATCTAATTCTTGTAAATATAACATATCTGAAAAAAAAAATAAATAATATATTAAATGTTTATAAAAAGTATATCGAAAAGATATATGTCATTTAATATAAATTGTTTACTTACACTTTCTTGAATCAGGATAGTCATTATGTCTTTTAGTAATTATAAGAAATAATGCCTGGCAAATAGAATAAAATACATTGTGTTCTTTATTTTCGTCTTCCATATAATTTGAATGGTCTTGCATATTAATATAATTATGTATCCATTTGGATATTTTAAATTGCACTGTTTTTACTAATCTAATGAAAATAAAAAATATATAAAATATATGAACATTTATATTATAAATTTCATATCACTAAAAACATACCCAGTTGTAATAAATGTTGCTGTAATTACCAAACTAGCAATGTAAGCTATAGATGATTGTCGTATAATTGAAGGTTCATTGGGATCAGATGCTTTTCGCCACAACCAATCTATAAAAGCCTCCACAACAGCTGCTTTAAAACTACAAATATAGAACATAATATATTGTACGTATTGACTCGCATGAGTAGGTAATATTACTGTTTCGAATATTCGTAACATATCAAAATAGAGACTTTTTAAACATTCTATTTGCAAAACTTTGTTAATAAAACAAGAGTTATGCATGTATTTCAGAATCAGTTCCATGCATACATCCAATTTATGAGCTATTGGATATATTTTTTCTGTTTCTGTTATATTATTTTCTTCAACATTGTTCTCAGTATCAAGTGTACTATCACACTCACTACTATCATCCATCAAGTCTTCTTCTTCATTATCTATCTCTAAACGTGGTATGTTTACATCTAATACCATCAATCTATTATAAACAGAAATAACTCATCATAAAGTGTTTTTATTCTAAATTGGTAAAATTTAAATATAGTAATAATTTACCTATTAATAATTAGAGATAGAATATCAGATCGTAATTGTGGTGCATATTCTATTATTTGAATTAATGCATATACATAAACTTCATGTGTATGAGTTTCATGAACAATATATGGGAATCTTGCTCTAAGAGATTGTAGTAGAACTTTACTAGACCTAAAACAGATTTCATATAAATAATTATTTTAAGTTTTATTTATTTTTTACATACTATATATGAAACATATTTCATATATTATTATATTTACTTCCATATATTATATATATTTATTTATCAACAAATCCTTACATTGGTACAACTTCTAAAATTTTTTGAAGAATATCATGTATATGATTCAACCTTTGAATGTCTTCTTCTCTGCATTCTCCATTTTTCCATTCAATATTATCATTTTCATCTACATAAAATAAAATTTTCAATTAAAAATAAATTTATTAAGATTTTTTTGTATAATTATATTTCTATAATTATTTTAAAATATACCTGGTTTAAATTGTTCAACTAAATTGTCTATTACATTTTTTGCATAATGAATTTGCATACAAATTAAATCTTCAATAAATGCTTTATAAGCAGATGTCATATCTGAAGAACGATTTGTCCATTTTATTTGTAAAAGCGTTTCTACAAATACTTTATGAATAGGATTAAGTAATGATATACATTGTCTTACATTTGATAAAAATTCTATTAAATCTGTATCCTAAAATATAAATAAAAAATAATAGAAACAAATCAGAAATATTAAAATATTTTAAATTAATTAAGAAATATTAAACTAAATAAAATTGATATAATAATAACTATCCTATTTTAATAACAATTACAATAATATATACCTTTATATTTGAATCTCGTAAAGTACATATTAAATCTTCGTAATCTTTTGTTCCATTACCAGTTTCAAAATTATAGATAATACTTTTAAGATTTTTTGGAAGTTTGAAATATACTCTATTAGACTGTCTAATAAGTTGTGATCTTATTCCAGGAGTTTTTAAAATTGATGAAACACTGCTCACTCTTGAAGATACAACTGACATCTGTTAAAAAATAATATTATATACCTATTACTTTTAATATAATAAAATTATACATATTTGTATTTACTATTAAAATAATTAAAATACATATCTTGTAATACATCTAATATTTATTAATTCTGTCAAGCACACGTGTGCAAAAAGATAAATAAGGAGGTTATGATATAAAGTAATAAATTTTTAAGTAATTACTTACTTTTAGAATTATATTTATACCTTTTTGATACGATAATATTTTTAATAATTTCAATTTATATATTTGTTTACATTTTGAATTTATATTACTGATTAAATAGCTCTTAATATTTCTATATATACTTTCTTACATGTGGCCGGATAACCGCTATTGAACATGTATAGTTTTATAATGATATAAATTCTACATTATCGATTTATACTATAGATAAATCGATAAGTTTAAAATTTCTGAAATATTTTAATTTTTAATATTGTTAAAAATATAATAAAAAAAGTAATAAAAAAAACATTTCAAGTAAAATATAAGATTATCTTTAATATATATATATGAAAATTATAATAAATATATGAAAATATGAAAATAAAAATTTAAAAATTTATTTCAAAATTAAATTTTAAAATTTATTTTAAATTATATCACAAAATTTTTGAAATTCTTGAAATATAAATATAAATATTATAAAATTCTTTCTTAAATCCATATTTTTAAATTGAAAAAAAATTTTTATAATAAATTTAATATTTATTTACATAAATCACAAATAAATTATATAGAATATAAAATTCTTTTAACGGAAAAATTAAAAAAAATATATATAAAAAAAATTAAGAAAATTTTAATTACTTTGTATATAGTTTTGTATTTTGCTAATTATTAAATTGTCAATTAAAGATTCTATACTACAAATAAATATAATAATGTTATAATATTAATCAATAATATATTAAATAAACAAGAAAAATTTTACACATTCTAAAGTTGGTATTAATTTTAAAAAGTTTTTTTATTTTTATATATATTATACTATAGTTAGTATAGTTAGTAAAATATCCATATATTATATATATAATATAATATGTAGTTTTTTAATATAATATAATATTTTTATATAATATATGGTTTTATAAAAATAAAAATTGTTATGACATATTTATTTAATATGATTTGAATTTTGAAAAAAACTTTTAAGTTTTCACTTTCTTTTTTTTATTACTTATATAAAGTTACGAATAAATATAATAAACAATTAAGTACATATATATATATATATATATGTATTATAAATATATATTATTTATGTAATGATATTTAAATCGAATTAATATTTCAGAAAATTTTCCAAATAGAATTGTATTGATAAAATATTATATATGTTACTTGTGCAATTGTAAATACTAAATCATTTTTGCATTTCGTACATTAGCATTGTTCGATTAATTTATTAACAATTTGAATATAAAAAATAATACAAACTTTTTTATTTGCAAATACATTAAATATTGAATTTTCCTATAACAATTTTAGTGATAAATTATATTGATTTGATTTGAACATCATTATTGCTATATTTTTACTAAATATATATTATATGATATATATTAATGTGCGTTGTATAAATATATATTATACATACACTTAAATTTCTTTTTTTATTTTTAAATTTTTGTCTTATTTAATTATTTTTTATTTTGACGCTTTTTTTTAACTCATAATCTTTCTAAATTTATTTCTATTTGAAATTTTTTCATTAAATTTTAATCTTTTCTAATTTTATTAATTTTTATATTAAATTAATTTTAATAATTAATTTTTATTATATTTTTCATATATAGATCTTTAATATAAAAGTTGGATGTTAAAAATATGCAATTTATACAATAATTTTTTGCACAATTTTAAATGGATGAACTTTGCTATACTAACCAATTAAAAAGCCACTAAATGAATCAATGCTTATAACACTATTCATTGAAAATTAAGATAACAGAACATATTATATCGATTTATAAAGATAAGTATCTATTATAGATTATTAAAAACATTGTTTAATTACTTATATCATTTACACTTATATATTATTTGTATACACTTATATATTATTTATGTTGTTTTATATTGATTGTTTATTTAAATATTATTTTTATGTTTTAAATCTTTTAAGAAATTGAATTATGCTTCTTATTTTATTTTTATATTTTTATATAAAATGTATATTTATTTATGTATATTTAAAATATATACATTTATTTCACGACTTCCTATTTTATTGTTGAACAACCAAATACATTGAAAGCCAGTAGCACATCATAAATAATTAAAATAATTTCCTTTTCTACAATGATTGATATGTACGATTATATTTTCATTATTTAATATTTTATTATATGAATGATAAGAAAAAATTTTTATCCAATTTTTATATCTAATTTATTTTTGTATGAGTATTCAGTCCTAGTATTGTCATCAATTTTCGATTTATTTGCTTTTTGATTTTTCATTGCATTATATATTCATTTTTAAATTGTTAACGCAATATCATGAAAAATATTCTTTGGAAAAAGTTCTTAATCAAATATTAATATTACAATATATAAAATTGTAATTTTTCAGATATAAAATGTTATTATTATATTACAATATTGAATATTTTTTAACAAATGTATAGAAATATTGAATGTTTTTAATATAAGATAAATACAAAAAAAAAGCAATTTTTATTATGAAAAAAAATATAGTGAAAAAAATTTAATTAGATATAGAATTAATATCAATACATAAAAACAGACTTCTATGGAAAGTAATAAGTGATAATAGAAATGATAATAGAGAAAGTATCTTTGTGAAACTTATCTATTTATTTACTTATTTATTTTTTTACAATTTTAACTATTTTTCATTTTTATATTATTATAAAATATTATTAACATTACCCTGAGATTTATACAAATAATAATATTCTTACTTTATAGTAGTTATTTTATAGAATTCAAAACATTGTTACAAAATAAAAATATATGTATCTTTTCCTAAAAAAAAAAAAAAAAAAATGAAAAAATCATTAATAAAAAATTGCATGCTTTCAAAAGTATAATATACAATAGTATAATTTGCTTTTCATTGCAAACATATTTTGTCATAAAAATCAAAGATCAATACTTTGTGATAAATTTTTTTGTTGTTCTACCAGCCTATTAAGAACTTTTCCTACATTTTCTGGTAAATGATCCAATAACATTCGTGGCATTACAATCAATTCAGTAAATTCTTCTGGTTGTGCCCACCGCATTTCGAACGTCTTTTCTTTTATTTTTAATTTCTTCCTACAAGAAAAAATATTACACATAGTTTATCATTAAATATTTTCAAAATATTGCTCAATTTTGCATAATGTTATACATAAAATAAATTTTATATACTTTTTGATGTCTGATTTATCAACATTGCGTTCAGTTATATGGAGTATTTTACCGCTTGTATATAATCTTACTTGAGAAAACCTCCTTTTTGTAAAATCAGGTTCATATATTCTATTTTCCTATAATATAAATTTCTTTTTATTATATATATATATAAATTTTACGTTAAATTTTATAGAAGAAAATTTATAAAAATGGCATAGTTGAATAAAATGGAATAATATTATATATATTTTGTTATTTCATTTATAACTTTGTTAATATCTTTTATGTGTAATATAAAAATACTATAATATAATATAATAGTTAAAAATAATTAAAAATAATTAAAAATAGTTAAATGTATTATGATAAACATATAACTAATTATATTTGCATAATAAAATTTTTTTTATTTTTGCCACATCTTCCTGATTTTTAATTAAGTAACAACTAAATAATTAATAATGTATTAAAAATGACTTTTATTTTTTTTTATATTTAAATTTTCGATAATTCATTTTAAATTTTTGATATTTTTATTCAAAAAATACTATGTACTTTTTTGTTGCAATAGATTGTCTAACAAAATATTTAAAATATATCTTAATATATATATTAAAATAATATCTGAAATTAATAAAATTTTTGAAATCTTAATTTTCCAGAAGCATCAAATTAATTCAATATTATATAATAAACATTTAAATTATTCATTTATAGAATATTACTTGAATATTATAATATTTTTTTAAAAAATTCAAGATTTAATATAATATAAGATAAAACTCAAAAATTAAAATTTTCAACATAATAATAATTAAATTTAAAATAATTTAAATTAATAATTTAAAATTTAAAATTTAAAATAAAAATATTAAACTATATTTATTTATCAAAACAAATAAAATATCTAATTTTAAATATTCCATTTTGCTTAACTTTCTTTATATTTGTATTTCAATTTTTAAAAACTATTTTTCATTAAAAAAAATTAGTAAAAAATAAAATATATACCTCTAGTCTATTTATATTTCGATCGTTGAGTAAAGGTGATTCTCCTGATATAGTTTTTATCACACTATTGGGCTTCCACATTTTTTCAAGGTCTTTTTCAGGAATACCAAATAAAACGTAACCTAGTCCATTTAATACTACTCTATACTGAAAAATTGACATACAGTACACATTTATTGTGATAATTTAGAAATATTATAAAATTATAATAAATTAAATTATTAATATCATTTTTAAATTTCATTTACATTCTAATGTTTTATATGTTTATGTATATAATTTTCAATAAAATTCAAATTCAAATTTCGTTTTTGTAAATAAAAATAAGCATGCATATTTAAATTTGAATAAATTATGAAAGATTTTATAATAATTTAATTTTCTATTTAAAAAAATTGAAATTTAAATAATATCATATTTAATATATTTAATATCAAGAAAATATTTGAATATTCAAATATAAAGATTTCGTTAATTATTGTAAAATTATTTAATTAAATCAATTAATCAGTTAATTAATTAGTTAATCAATGTTTTATAGTAATATACATATAAAATAGATTTTAATCTTACCAAATATCTCAGAAAATGTAGAAGATATAAAAAAATATTTGACATAAATTTAAATAAATAAATATCAGTTAAATAAATATCAATATTTCATTAATTTTTTTTTTATATGAAAATCGATATTTGTATATCTTCCAAAATCTAAGTGTTAAAAAACAAATTTTTTGCTTTTAAAGTAAGATATTCCCTATACAAAATTTAATTGCTCTGATTGAAATATTTTAAATATGAATTGAAATA